CTTTTGAGTAGTGCCATCTGTTCAAATCAAACTCTTGCATATGGTACATACTGTTTTACATGTGGGACTTTTTTGACTTAAAATCTTGCAAAATTGCTGCCATAGCTAGATCTGGCTAATGCTACACTACCAGAAATCTCTTCTTTTTTGCCCTGCAGATGCCGTTCAGGTAGGCGGGTGGCATAAAATAATCGTTAATTAATTGAAATTGAGGTAAAGGTTTGAAATAATCGCGATATCACCCATCCCTAATCTCTAGTTTTTAGTAGTTAATTCTGAAATCTGTTCTGATTCAAACTCTCTTGTTTTTTATAAGAGGTATACAGTCTGAATCCTATCAAGTTTCAATTTATAAGTTAATGACACTTTCTTTGGTGCTCTTATACTGTATTGTCTTGGTTTATTCTATCCTGTGTTCATAATTTGTACTGATTTTGTTCAAATGGGACAGGATTTCATTGGCTGATGTTGGTCATCAGCTCTGTGAGTCAGTGGGTCTGATGCTGGATGATGTATTTCAAGGGTGAAGACGATATCCAGCAGCTGCTGACTGTAAAATGTCTCACAGCCAGTCTACATGAGGATTTGGCAGAAGTTCTTTTTCAAACTGTCACACATGTTTTTGGAATGACGCTGCTGGCAGTTGATATTCTCTCTGCTCACATTCAAGATTTAAGGCCAAGAAGCTGCACAGGAAAACAAAGCTGTTTTTTGTTAAGATAGAAGAGCCTTTAAAACTGAATTTACACCAGCAACTCAATGAATAAAATATTCAAATGTATTTCTCTAGTCAGCGAGGAACCTCCAACTAGAAGTGTTTTCATTTTTAATCATACCATGTGGTTCCTAGACCTGAACCCAGAACTCTGCGTTAACCAGGTCCAAATTATCTTCAGTCTAATGAGGTCAGATGGGTCTGGTAGTGTTCAGATCACAGGTCTGTGTGTCAACATATCAAATCCTGAAAGTGTGTGTGTGCGTGCGAACTCGCTCTCAGATCTGATCACATGCTGCTTCATCGACATGGCAGGAGAAAAATAATGTTTTGACAGGAGATGGGAAAGTGTGAAGTGGAGAGTGCTGGAAAAGGAAGACGCACTTATACTCTCTCTGACTTAACAAGGCTTTGTGTTAATTAGTGGAGCATCATGCTGCTACCCGTATCGGTGTCTCTGTTTCAATCTGTTAAGGTCGACCACCTTTGGGATTAGAACTAATTATCCGCGGTTCTGACGAACTTCAGGTCCCCTCTGGATTTGATCTCTACTTGTTTTTGAAAATATAATTTGCAGTGGGTATTCTCTGGATTGTTTCAGACTGAAGGCCCCTTCAGATAGAAAAACAATTTGTGCTATGCTGGCCGCTGGGTTAAGAGCAAATTTAAGTTTAGTTTAGTTTAGCTAGTTAAGTTTTCTGTAAATATTAACCCCCACTTTTCAGAGATTTGGGAGCTTGCTAATGAAACTTCAAAAGTAATTAAAACTGTTAAAACACATCTGACATGCCTGTTTGACTCGAATTTTAATTGCTGCAGCATAAAATCTGTCCTTACGTGGCATAAGCCATTGAAAAGAATACGTTACAACTGAACTGCTGTCGCATTCTGACTTGATACCAATATTTCTGACCCATGAAGACCTTCTCCTTGATGAGAGGTGGATGACATGAGTGGCTGCTGTTTCAAAATAAATCTTGTTTGTCACACTTTGAAAAGGATGGAGATGAGATGAAGAGACAAAGATGAGAGAAGCCTCTCAGTGTGTTTCCTGGTTGGGTCTGTTGTAAACAGTAATTTGTATTCCCTGTGCTGTTCTGTTCCTCAAACCTTATCATTTTGTTCCTGCTGTTACACAGGCTCATTTGTGCTAGAACTGAACACTCAACACCTCCACTCTGTCTCCGCACTGACACATCCACTCTGTGCACGAGTGTCTGTGGAGAGGGACAGAGAAAGATTATTAAATTACAGTGCGCTGTGATTCTCTTCACTAGATGTTTTCAGTCAGACCCCTGCATTGCAAAGCAGAGTCACAGATTCCTCATCCCAAACACACTGCCCTCTGCATCAAGATGAACGTATAATCCAGCGTCCATCGCTCACTTTGTGTTTTATTGCTAAACTAATGAACAGGTTACTGATTGGAGTAATTACGCGAAGCAATACTCTCACTCGAGATGCACGAACCCTGTGGTGTGCTGTGCGCATGTTGTCATGCAGAACCATGTGGGTGATATTGTTTTCTCAGTGTGAGAGGTAATAGCTTAGTATGACTAATACACAGACATTTTACCATTATCACTGCCAGCCCTAATGGCCTTGCCAAGATCCTCATGTTCATGTGAGGAGAGGAGCAGCAGAGGGAAAAATGCATAGGAGATGTCTGTGGTTGTGTTATTGTGCGTGAAAAGGGAACATATTATTTCCCCACATGTGGTGGATATATTGTGCATTCACAAAGTAAAGACCAGTAAATGTTTTTACATTTTGTTATGTTGCAAAACTTAAGTCAAAGTTGTTAAAATTAATAGTTCTCTTATGAAAATGGAATTTCAGTAAATGATAATTTGTTAAAAGTTTAAATAAATTTAAATGTCATTTTGACATAAGTATTCAGACTAGGGATGCAGTTTAAATAGTTTTTCTTACTGATAACCGTCACTTATCGATTATTAACTATTTACCAACCAGATTACAATGTTGTGTAATGGACAAGTATCTGACACATTAAAAATACCAATGCAACACCTGCAGCGCTACTGTGCTCTCTCTCACTGACACACGTATAGAACCATCGTGTTCAGCATAACTTTCCATTAAAGCTGTGCACTTCACTTCAGCTGCGACAGACATACAGTCACTCCGATGTGCATAAGAGTAAACTGTGTACATGTTCACTGGACAATCACAATAATCAAGCCTCATTAACAGGCCAGGCTTACTCAGTCCTTAGAATTTGTATTTATAAATGGCTTATCCACATGTCTGCTTAGATGCCACAGATGTCCAAGGAACAGATTAATAGCTGGTATAGATTTGTCAGATACACAGCTGTCTCTATAAGGAAGTAGCTTCCCATAGAGCTCTGGGGAAACAATTCTGTATGGAAGGTTCCCAGTTTCTGTTCATATGGCCAGACAGAAGCCTCTCTCTAGTGAAAGAACCATTAAAAACACCTAAAGGAGCGTGGAAACAAGATTCTCTGGTTTGATGAAACCAAGATTGAACTGTCATCATGTCTGGACTAAACTAGGAATTGCTCATCACCTGACAAAGACCATCCCAGCAGGGACGCATGGTTGTGATGGCAACATGCTGTGGTGGTGTTTTTCAGCATCACGGACAAAAAAAGACTAATTTGAATTATGGGAAACCTGAATGCTGCTAGTGCAGAAGACTTTGCATTAATCTTTCCCTGATGGTTCGGAGCACTCATGACCTCAGACTGGGTTTAGGGTTTGCATGACACTAAACCTCGAATCCTAGACAACTGGAAGCTGAGAGTCAGAGTCATCAAACATCATTGGACAGACCGAATTTCTGTCCTCCGACAGTCCTGATCACCTGTGACGGGGGAGAATCAGACAATCCCTAAATCCAGGTGGCTTGTTAAGACATAACCATGACTTGAACCTGGAATCTCTTCCAATACTTCTTCAACAGTTCGAAGTAAAGGATCTGACAATGTGATATTTCAGTTTCTGCCTTTTGATGAATTTACAATGAAAATCTCTAAAATTCTCTTTTTTCTTGATGGAATGTATAGGTTGTTGAGAGAGTTGACACACTCATACAGTACTTGTGTTGTATCTGTTAAATATAAATGTGAATAGGTTAGCTAGTGGTTTCCTTCGGTCACACTACCGACGTCTGTGGTGTCATTGAGTAACTCCCATCCTGTGCCAAGGTCATAAAAACAGCGTCTTTAATTCATAAAATGTTGGAGGAGAGTGATTTCATCTGTGTTTACAGTTTTATATTGACTTAAGCAGGTTTGAATCGTATTTTTAAAGATTGCACTCGTCCAAAATTGCACACTGCTGCTAAAAAAGCAACAGACATTTTGCTGCTTGGTAAAAATCTTGAATATAGCAGCACTGAGTGAGTCTGTCTGTGCACAGGAGAGGATGAGCACTGACATCTGTCATGAACTGAACTGAAAAACATTTGAAATGAAATCATGTGAAATGATCTGAAACCAGTGGCTTCCCATCAATCTAAAAATGCACATGTCTGCTTTCAGAGTGTTGGCACGACACTTGATTAGTAGTCAATGAGCTGCAAAAACATCACAGTGCTTATTTTAACCCTTTACATCATTGCTCTTATTAATTTGTTCCTTATTCCTTCATTCAGAAGTAATTAAATATTCGTTTGTACGAGTGTTTGTTAGTGTGTGTGTGTGTGTGTGTGTGTGTGTGTGTGTGTAGTTGTCTCACTAATTTCCTCTCTCTTCAGGATGAGGTACTGACAGTAATCAGGCGAGTGGACGAGAACTGGGCAGAGGGCATGCTGGGAGACAAGATTGGCATCTTCCCTATTCTCTACGTGGAGGTATTCACACACACACACACACACACACACACACACACACACACACACACACACACGTACTAAATATACTAGCAATCACATATCAAGTTATTACAGAAAATAACAATTTTTATTTATTATGCCGCTACCTTGGAAACAGGAGGAAGGCAGAAATTATTTTTTATATCCTTTCTGCCTTGAGAAATAAGGTTAATAATACATGTTACTATTATTGTTATTGTTATAAACTTTGTTTATGTAGCACTTTTCTTAAAATAGAATAAAGTTACTTGAAATTCACCCGAGGGATTAAATTCTTTTTTTGGAAAAGAATGTTTTAAAAAGGGATTTAAAAGCAGTAACAGACAAAGAAAAAGTCTACTGGAAATGTAATAAAAACTTGCAATGTTTGATTTCTTTATCATTCACATGAGAGTAAGTACTTGCTGCCATGTGTCTAATACAGTATATTTGACCTAAATGGTGTTCTGCTTCAGTTTTACATTGTTTCTATTTGATATTTTCTGTATATTTGATCACTTACATATTTAAACATGCAGCTAAACAAATTGAATTGACAGTGCTGTTTGTAGGTTCAAAGGTTTCTTTACGGGATTTCCTCTCTGTAAAAGGATGGGAAGAAAAACCAGCTCTCCATTTACCTATTTCATAATGCCACTTCTTTCAGGACTGGAATTTAGTTCACTTTAATCCTTGTGCAGCTTGTAAACATATCGTGCACATTTTGGTCTGGATGGTATAAAACCCAGTGGTGGAAAAGGGAAGGATGATGTGTAATTCCCTCTTTCATGCTGTTCTTAAGGCTTCACTCACACTGGAAAGTATCACTTTGCACCACTGTGAGTGTGTGTGTGTGTGCGTGCATGTGTATGCGTGCTATATGATAAGGTCAGATCCAGAGTATTCAGCACTCTGTGTGTTCGTGCACTGTGGCTCATTAATGTAGAGAAGGGACGAGTCTGGAGACGGAGCCTAATGGGATGACTCATCCTTCATGCTGGTTTTAAACGTTGCTCTCTACTGCTTTTCATCTGCTATTAAGTGAACATGCACTCACCCACAAAGACACAATTATAGGACAAAACATGTGTTAATATCCACATCCATGCAGATACACGTGTGAAATCAATGTTCTGGTCATTGTCTACTCACACTGCACTCTCTGCACACTCTTTCTTTGGTCTCTATCGCTTTCTCTCTCTCCGGGGTTTGCACCCTATAAAGTGCCGGAGTCTTGGTTATCCAATCATGTCCCTGAAATCAGCTGCTAGCCCAAACGACTCTCTTAGGTAATGGTGATTAAGCCATAAACTGTGGAAAGTTGGCACAAAAACACACACAGACACACAGGGGTTCCTATTAAATAGAGATGCATCAATAATTTAGTCCTCTCCATGACTCTGACACTGCAGGGGTACGTGTGTGTGTGTGTGTGTGTGTGTGCGTGTGCGTGTGCGCGCAGCTAAAGAGGGGGGCCCAGCTGGATTTCTTGCTGAGCTTTGTGTGTGTGTGTGCGTGCGTGCAGGTGTGTGGAACATGGAGTACCTCTTGCAGCACTTTTCTCAGAATTCGATGTGAATACTTGTGTTGGTATCGGGTCAAAAACACAGATTTGACTTGAGAGGTTTGCAGATGACTGGGATGGCACCAAAAAGTCAAAATACTATGGAGTGTGTGTAAAGTGATTGGCACTCACTGCATATGAAGAATGTCCTTCCATCCACCCCTTTAGTGGGGCAACTGGGTGTGTTTGTGTGTTAGTGGGGGATCTTCCAACAATGAGGTATTTCAGGCACCTCCACTTCCAAATTGTCCTTGGGCAAGATACTGAACCCCAAAGTCACCCTGATGGCTGTGCCAACAGTGTATGCATGTTGTGTGATAGAAAACATGTTGTGTATAAATGTGTGCTTCAATGGGTGAGTGTGACTTGTAATGTAAAGGGCTTAAATGCAGTCTATTTATCATGACCACTCCAACTGACAATATCCACTAAACCTCTTGTAACATGCAGCTCTCTTGCAGTGATTTAATATAGTTCTGATTCTGATATGCGAGCGAATGCAATAATAGTTAGCGTGCTGATGAACGAGGCATGATTGTGTACAGTTTTAGGAACGGCCACAGAGAGTGAATCAGCTGCAGGTCTGGAAAATTGGGTCACAGCAGAAGACACTACAGGAAAATGCAGAACATTCAGGCGAGGGGTGGAGCTTAGATAGAGCATGCATGAGGCAGAACATGACATGCACAGATTCCACTGTGGAAATCACGTGTTTGTGTTTACAGCCAAATGACAACGGGGTCGGTCCTTATCACCAAAAGCTCTAAAATCTTAGAGATTCTTCTTCTACATGTGTGGCAACTGTTTTTCACCCTGAGATCTTTGTATTCTTCCAGTTTTGTGTCTGTCACACATTAGAGGATTCATCAGCATGCCCACTCACTCGCTTTGAATTTTCCTTAGATGTTTTTTGGACGTTTGACTAGGGAGCTGGCAGAAAACGTTCCAGAAGATGTACCTAGCAACTGTCATCTGCAATCTCACTTCGAACCCCTCCAGAAGATCCAAAGAAAATGTTACGAAGCAGTTTAAAATATATTTCAAGCAATTTACAGTGAAAGATCTCCAACGACAACACCAACTAGTCTGTTTTACAAGTATTACAATATTGTGCTTTTTGTAAAATGCTTCTCCTGTAATGTTTTGAAACATGATCAGATGACTTTTATCAGTTTGTCTTTGGATGGAATAAACCACCAGCAGAATCAGAAAAGTTTCAGAAATTAATACATTTTTTATATGGCTGCATGCATCAGTGTGACATTTATAGAAGAGTATTCCTGAGTTTCCCGTTATTGTAAAGGATCTGCATTACATATATCAGTGGATTGTGCCTTTATTTGTTTAAGCATTTTTATTATGCTACTTTTTTATTTTGCAGAAGTTATGGCTGCACTTGTGTTAAATTAATTGACCATAACCCTGCCAATGAAATATAAATCCACTGAGGTTTTGTATGCTGCTTCTTAAATTATGAAATTCAGTGATATAATAATCCTTTCTCAGTGTGGGAGACTTCCCTCTGTCTTATTCTCTGGGTTTAAAGAAAAAACTGCGAATAATGTGGTAAAAGTTTTTAATGGTTTGTGGAGTTTGAAATTTCATATTGTGCAGGTTTATTTTAACACATTTAAAACACTTCATTACTAATAACCACTATAACCATTACAGATACATTAGTTTCTACTTAATGATTTACTAATATGGCAACAGATGTATTTAAAACTGCAGGTGCTTAGAAATTATCATATAATTTGAGTTTGGTTAGATTTTGATTCAGGTGGGTGTATCTGAGGTTGACATACACATGGACACTGGGTGTTGATTTTAATGTACTGCACCAGTCCTGACTTTGAATGGATTTAATGAGGGTGTGTTGTAAAAGTTTAGGATCTCTGTTAGAAGATTTGGATTTGAAGATGAATGTCGATGAGAGATGAAATGGGACAGACTCGTCTGGGTTGGATGTCTTCCTTTTTCACCTTTTATTTATTTCTGTCTTCCTTTATTTTCTTTCTTCTCTCATTCTCTTTTCTCTCTTAATTCTTCCTTCCTTCCTGCTTATGCACCCTACCGTCTCTGCAGCAGGAGGGAGATGTCACTTGCCACTGGTTTTGTGTGCGTGCGTGCCTGCGTGGCCGTGCATGTATCTTGCTGGCTTACCCTTTTCACAGTGCAGACATAAGCCCATCAGCTCAGGCCTTGGTATTACCTGGAGAGAGCCCTCACCCTCCAAAAGACGCAGAGTACACAGTGTACAGTGAGCAGCAAACATAACAGAGGACCTTGGAGATTTCATTCAGCCAAAACTGTCTCTATCAACACCATCTCTCTCTCTCTTTCTCTCTCCCTTTCTCTCTCCTATCTCTCTCTCTGTGTCTCTCTCTCTGTCTCTCTCTCTGTCTCTCTCCTCCCTTATCTCCTTTACTGCAGCATTACTGGGCACTATAGCGTTGGTCGTTAGGAGGAAACTGACACAGCAGTCATTGGTGTGTGTGTGTGACTGGCAACTACTGTATGTCTGTGTGTGTGTGTATATATGGAGTCACAAACTTGAATGCATGTGTAAAAGTTACTTGAAGGGTCGTAATATAAGTTTTTTACGTGCTTTCTGACCTTTTTTTCAGTGTGTGTGTGTGTGTGTGTATGGTGTATGTGTATGTGCAAGTTGGCTTGTCCTCATGAGAGCAAACTGAGTTATATCTGCAGCATCAATCCATCAAGCTCATTAGCATATGATTCGGCTTTGATTAGCATATCTATTAATATGGAAATACAACATCGCCAACATTGAGCTGAGACGGGTCGGTCCTGCACACACACACACACACACACACACACACAGAAAATAGTGCTTGACTTCCTCTCCAGGGATTGTTCTGGAGTTTTGGGTTACATTAAACAGACATGATTTTGATGTAAATGAGGGCTGAAGCTGATGTTGACTGTCAACATATTAGTTCTTGTTACCCTGTTTCAAACTGGCCTCTCTCTTTCAGTGTGGTGGTGTGTGTGTGTGTGTGTGTGTGTGTGTGTGTGTGTGTGTGTGTGTATGTATGTGTTATGTGTGTGTGTGTGTGTGTGTGTGTGTGTATGTGTGTGTGTGTGTGTGTGGGCCTGCTTTAAATTCATGACCCACTATATCTTAAGACCAGAATTAGACCACGACCTTCAGAGTTTTACGAAGTTTACTCCAAGAATTTCCATCAAGGATGTTAACATTAATGTAGAGACAAACACCTCAGCTGTAGGTGTAATATTTGCTTTACTCGTTTGCTTTTACGCTGTAGAGACAAGTACGGAGAGAGAATGTTAACTACAGAGTTTTCACTGTGTGTTAAACAAAACATCCTCGAAATGAAAGCAAAATAGCTTTTTCCCTCAAGTGTCCCTATAGAGTGCTCATAGTACTACTCATGTGCTCGTTGGATGAATTTACCACAGAGGATGATAAATTAACTATTTAGAAAAGGTATTATATTTACAATGAGGTTTGGCCTCAGCCATGATATATCAGTTTAATCAAGACACTCATGAAGTTTTGAAAAAGTGTATTTTAAAAGGACTTAATTTGAAGTTAGCAGATCTGAAGAGCTTTTAATATCAAAGTCATGTCAAAGCCATGTATTCATCAGGTGGTCATACCTTACTAATGGTGTCGCACTTCTTCATATAACCATTGAAGACATTAAATATCAGCGTGACCAGTGTGACCTTAAATCAGAAAGCAGGTGTTTCTTTCTCTGCAGTTTCTGAGAAAAAAATACCAACAACATTCTCCACCTTTATTAAAATCCAGGGCTGTGACCAGACCATTCTATTCATACAGCTAATTATGCACTCTGTGCTGCAGGGAATGTTTACTTCTTGTATGGATGGATGTATTTGCTAATACTGAAAGTAAACAGGAGATTGCTGTCACCCAGCCCTGACATTCACTTAATGCCATGGAGGATAAAAACACGATAAAGCTAAAAGCTTGCTTCTCTTTTGGGCCATGTAAGAAAGAGTAGGATGTTTAGATCACCCATTACTTCTGTGGGTTGTGTAGTTGCACAAATTCTCATCATGCAGCTCCATCCATAAGATCTCACATATAAAAACCTAACGATTAATTAAAATTAAAATGTCTAAAAACAACAAGACTTGACTTCTGCATTTACAGTTTCTAAAATGTTCAAAACAAAAATACCCAGTTTTATTCAAGGTACATTTACTATGGTTTCCCTTTAATTGCGCAACATTCGCTTTACCCCTGGCTTTGCCCATCTCTGCTACAACTAAAGCATGATGAAGGAAAAAGACTCCTAGCTGGTTAGCCATTCGGCTGCTCTTTTCTTCCACTGTTTGTATTGATCACTAGTAAGTGCAACACACAAGTGACCCAAAAGGATTATGGGACAAGAAATGGTGAAGACAACTCCTTGATACCATGCTGCCTCATGACATCATCAAACTAGGTATTTTGTTATTGTTTTGATTGAGAGACCCCTTGTGGCTGAACTTACATATTGTATGAAAATCTACGTAGTCCTTTATTCCTCCTGAAATCCACCTACATACTGAACTTAAATCTGATTCTTACAACCAACAAAAGCGAAAGGGATGTTCGTCTTTATGTGAGTTATTCTAGTTCCTGTTTGTTTAAAGGAGAAATGGTCAGTGTGTGTTATTCTCTCTAGACCATCTGCTGTAAGTGATGATTGTTACACTCACAGTTTGAAAAGCTGCCAGGAAGAACAAGTGATGAGAGGCTACACAAACACACTTGTTATGATGTTGTGTTTGACCCATTGAGAGCTGACATCTAACATCTGAAATGCCTCTCCTCTCCTCTCAGCTCAACGAAACAGCAAAGCAGTTGATGGAGATCGACAAACCTCCGCCAACGAATGCTCCAGGTCCAAGCTCTGAACCCGCCCCTTTGGGCCCCTGCTCTCCTGGCCCCTCACCCAGTGCCTCCCCGTCAAATGGGAACGGCTCTGGCCATCGGCGAGGCGAAGGAAAGAAAAACGCTAAGAAGCGACATTCGTTTTCGGCGCTGTCCGTCAGCCAAAGGGCAGCCCAGCTCAACAACAGGCATAGCATGGAGATCTCCCACCCGGTGCTTATCAGCTCCTCTGACCCCAGAGCTGCTGCACGCATCCAGGTACACACACACACACACACACACACACACACACACACACACTAGTGTGTAGCAGTGGTAGGTACCTCAGTGTAGTCAAAGTGTGGAAGTATTAAAGCGACACGATGCAAGATTTGCTCTTGGCTAAACTTGACTCCCCCTTCATGTGGGATGTATACTTTTCTGTCGTAAATACAAGCTGCAGTCTGAGCCTCTCATTATCACAGCTGTACACATGTGCATTTGTTTACAAGCTGACTGAGAGGAAACCAGCAATGACGAGATTTTGCAAAAACACGACGGGTTAGTTTGACTCACTTTCCCGCTAAATCTTTATTGAAATGGGTTTACCTGGCTTCTGACGATAAACTAACGAGTCAACAATTAAAGTAAACAATCTCTCGTATTTTATTTTCTGTTTGGTTGTTTATTGTAAAGTACAAAATCTAATTTCTTTAAGCTGGTCATACATTTAATATGTAAAAGTTAGTGCAGCACACAAGTAACTTTGTGTTCCTGTTATTTCTTATTCCTCCTCTAAACATACAGTAAACATGCAATTACATTCTGCAAAGCTGATTTCTCTTTGGCCACGCTTTCCCTCAAGATATAACATATCAGTCATACCAGTCATCCATTCTGACACTTGCATATGAATAAAATGATTTCTCTTTCTGACAGCTTTCAACTGCACAGGCATTGCAGGTGGTTGCCATCACACCTGTGCTCAATGTGTTTTTGCTGTCTCTGAATAATACCCAGGATGCATAGTGGCAAGCAGGCACACACAAGCAATATTTATTTTAAATTGAAACTACTCTGTGTGTATCTTTCTGTTTGTCTTTAGGATGCTTCTCCCCCTGGTCCCTCTCCCTCATCGACAGGGATACTGGTGCCCCCCAAAGTGGCATCCATCACCTCTGAGCTGCTGGCCCATGCCAAGGTGCAGCTGCCACTCAACATGTGAGTACGCCTCAGGGTGCTGTCGGAGCTACCCACCTGCTACCTGGGTTTTTAGTCCCTCCTCACACCCGCCTGTTTCCATTTTATTGATGTGTGGATATGTGCCTGAGAAGCAAGTATGAGTTCTGAACCCAGCTTCTGGCTGCGTTAAAAATATTTTTTCTGTTTCGTGCCCAGAGATATTGGCCATGTTCCACTACCTCTGAAACTACATTTACTCCTCCACTGGTCAAGGATGAAATCCTCAGAAAGGCAAATACAGTCACAAGTACAGTTACATCAGTCTTTCATAACAAGGCTTTCAACAGCACACCACAGCCTATACTATGTGTACTCTGCATTTTTCTGTGGTGTGTTGTGTGCTTTCATAAGCTGCTTTCAGACATGTACTGAACTCGTGATTTTGAATTATCTGGATGTTGAGGTTCTGATTTTGGCAGCAGAATGTATTCCTTTTTCCTCCCTCCTGCATGCTAACCAAATGTCGATCCTCACCTGTGAGTGTGTGGACATTGTCCTGTTGTTGTGATGGTGTCTGACCCGGACAATCTCCTGCTGCATTCTTCATACGTCAAAGGCAAAGTCTGGGCAATGTCCGGACTTTATTTTCCGAACATTATCCAGAGTCCATGTCTGAAAACAGCTGTGACATTAAGTCTTTACTATCCAATGCAGCACTGGATATATATTTGGCTTAGAATCAGTTCAGAGTATTGTGCAGATAACATTTCAATATCAGCCTTACGTTCTTTCTCCCCCACAACTAACACCAGATTCACAAGGCACAATCTTCTCTGTACTAACTATTAGTTTCACTTCAATTCATCAAATGGATCATGAAATATTTGATTCATCTTTTATGAAATTTAGCTTTTACTATTTAATCATGGTCAGTCGACAGCTGATGGAGAAAGAGAGGGCAGAGAGAGAGAATCAAAAATCTTGACCTACAAATGTTCCAATGTCACGGTCAGCATCTTAAACCCTCAGGCCACCAGGAACTCAGGCAGGCAGGTGTTTTTGAAAATATATACCCGTACAAATGTGCCAGAAAATTTAATTCAGTAGCTCTGCACAGATATTTCAGGGCTAATATGACTCGGTGTGCATACAGAGGACAAACTGCGCAGGCTGCAGTCAGAGGCTCTGGTATTGATTTCACCGACTTCACACGGGCCAATAATTTCTTAAACGGATTAAGAGCCCAAATCTACCTGACACACTCTCACGGGCATAATTATATTCTCATGGAAATGTAACAACTCAAGTCACATCCAGATGGCCGGTGCGCTGAGCGAGATGGTTCTATAATTTACCTCGTAATTAATGTGGCAGGTAACTGCCAGAAAGTCATGTGTATCTTCAAAGAAAGCTTGTTTCTGATGTTGTTCTCGGACCAGTTTGAGTTTTAGACCACGAGGAGAGGGAGGATATTTTGAGATATTTGTGGAAAGTGATGACATTTGCTCAGTCCTCCCTTCTTCCAAGGTTAGAATTAGGTTTACGGATTATAGGGGACAGGGAATGAATTATGCCAGTCAGGGTCTTCAGGAGTATGGAGGTAAAAATGAAAAATAAAAATGTCTGCTCTTCAGTACTAACTCCTGTCTGCAGGATGAGGCAAATACAGCAACAGTCACATTTAATCAGATCTGATCTGATTTTATTAAAGCAGCGCTGCAGGTGCAAACGCACTTTTGTTGTGCGCACATACCCACAGACATGCATGCACACACCATCACCTACAATTAATACACAAGCACACACACATGCACATGAATGTATGTCCAGACCAGGTTTGTCCCACTGATGAGGTCGGACGTTTCCATCTTGACCTGGCAACCTTGTCTGTTGCCATGGGGAGATGGGAGACAGTTCCCACATCTGTTACCATGGCAACGGGAGGCAGTGCATATATTGCTTGTTTACTCTTTTGGTCTGATCGTCTTCTCTTGGAGTCTGGCACTAAAGAATACCAATGTCTCCCAGCGACAGGACCACGAACTCAGTTTTATGATAAATAAACAATACACATGATACATAAACACAGTCTTACACTGTGGGAAGATGCTAAATAATACATTCATTAGTGTACCTGTTACTCTAAACACGCTGACTACGATATGTTGATTAGGCAGCCATTCACTGCTTACCGGACTGTTTGGGAGGGGAGATCGTTCAGTCAGACGCAGCCCACATAGGTGATGACATATATCATAAAGAATTCTTCAGTCCACCCTAATAGATTGCAATGTGAAACTTTATCAAATGTTTACAATGTAACAAATACTCAAACCTTTACTCAGATTTTCAGGTGTGAAATCGCACCATACAGCCTTATTTTGGGCTTATCTTTGTACATTCACCCAAATAATTCCAGAGTGCACAAAATAAAATACTCTCCTCGTTTTTTTACAAACAGACAGTCATGTCTACTCGTTTTATGAAGGATTCATTTGCTCATGTTCACTTCCTAATTGTGCATTGAGGCTGGCTTTGTTCTTGCTCTGCATGACATACAGCACAACACATAAGGAGTAATACAAGTGTTTTGAAATGAAGGCCCAATGAGAAATAAATGGAATGAATAAAATAATTTGATAATCTGTAATACAATACTTGCTGCAGTTTATCCAACGGAATTTGAGTCACATTTTGTCTGGTGTTCATTTTGTCTGCTTTATTCCTCAGATATCTGGCTCTGTACGCCTACAAGCCACAGAAGGCTGACGAGCTTGAACTTAGGAAAGGGGAGATGTATCGGGTGACGGAGAAGTGTCAAGATGGATGGTTCAAAGGCACCTCGCTGAGAACAGCTGCCTCCGGTGTCTTCCCAGGAAACTATGTCACCCCGGTGTCCAGGTCAGTGAGCTCAGCCTTGGGGAGGGGGGAGGATGGTTATGGAGGTGACACAGCCTCCCAAGGGATTATGTCATCCCCCACATCCAGATAAAAGCAAGTAGCAATTATAATCATATCCTATAGCGCTGTGCAGTTGGCGATGGAGGCTGAAGTACCGCTTCCTTTGGCAAAGATGAGAAGTGAATTACTGGAGAAGCCACTGCATGAGCACAGTTTAATCCATAAAGCCACATGTTCAAACCTTAACTCCATTTATTTAGTTCGACCATGTGCATTTAACAATAGAATACAATCACACCAAGGTCCCTGATTTTGTCTGAACACAATAACACTAACACAGTAGTTAGGATGTAAATAGTTATTTTTCATATTAATTTCCCAGCTCCAACAAAAGATACAGATAAGGCCAAGCAGCGTAATTTAGGTACACAGTGTTCTCTGTCTGCCTCTTATCACAAAGGCATGCCAAAAGAAAAAAAATGTTTTGGACTTTTGTCAGCTGAGGCGTTATCTGCAGATACTGTATTCCTCATGGAGACAATTTTTCTCTTCTGAGTATTTTTCTTGCTTCGGTCTGTTGTGTCCCACATGTCAGGATTATATTTACACCTCTGGTCACCTCTGGGATTTTCTGCAAGATGGTTTTTGTCTCCTCCAAGAAAGTTAGTTATTGTCTGTGTTTGTTAGTTAGGTTTATGCAAAAAAGTACCAACACATTTTCCATGACATTTTGTGGACAGTTGGAGTCTGGCCTCGTAAGAGCCGATTGAATTTTGGTGCAGTTTCAGGCATTTTTGTTGTTTTATTTAGCATTGCAAGACAATTTTAGTAACATTTTAGTAATTATTCATGGATTTTGATGAAAACATCTGTGCATGTTTAGGGGACTGATATTTATGAGTGTGTGCAATCTGGTGCAGTTAAAGTAAAAATCAGGAAGTGAATTTAAATGTGGTTTCATAAGGGGACTGTATTCTCACTGACTAATCCATAGTGGAACAAGGTAAATACATTTTTAAGAGACATTCAGTTTGTTATTAATACAAACTTGAATCAAATATAGTGTAATATGCTCAACAGCAGCCAGCACATACTGGCTTTACCTTCTTTGGCAAGAACTATATATGCTTTGTAGATCATTATCATCATCATCACTGTTAAAATCAAATCAAACAAAATGAATGTTCTGAAAGCATATTTGGGGAATTTAGTCTCCCTCATTACGACTGAAAATGAAAACATTTTCAGTGGTTGTTCATCTAATCTGTATTCTGTTCCGTGATGCATTTGAAAAAAAACATAAGAGACGAAGAAAGTGAAAGCGAGGGAGATTTAGGATAATAGCTGGAGCGAAAGAAAAGAGAGGGAAAAAGGAGAGAGAAAGATAATGAGAAGATGAGGTGAAAGATATGGTACTGCGGGATACTCAGATGGGATGAGAGAGAAAAAGAGAGGCGAGAGGTAGGGGAGGGTAAAAGGCTCAAAGAAAACGGTGATGAAATAGAGGGAGGCGGAGGAAAACTGAAATAGATGAGTTGATAAGAAAGAAAATAACAACTGGATGAGGAGGTGGAGGGAAAAGGTAAAAGAAAGAGAGAGACACAAAGAGATGAAATGGTTGCAAAAACAGCAGGTGTCTCTTTTCACTGGATATGAATGGCTGCTTCACATTCTGCAGTTACGCAATCTTGGAAAGGGAGAGAGAGAGAAAGAGAGAAGTAGGATGGGCGAGTAATCAAATGAGAGGTAATTTGTTATTTCTACACAAGCATACTCTCTCCTTCCTCCTCCACTCCTCCGCCTGAACCCCCCAACCTCTACCCCTCTTTTGTCTGCAGTGCAGCTCAGAAATTTCTCTGTATGATAATGAGGGTCTGCTAAACATGCACACACACACACAAGCACAGCCAGCCAATACATGCTGGTTATATGGACATATAACCACAAATACAGTGGAAATACGTATTTGTCTAATATTCAGCATAACTGAGCATTTTTACTTGATTAATTTGTGATTTTTTTAACATTTCATGATGATATAAAAGCTTCTTTGTAGACTTTTCCACTTTGTTATGGGTTAACATTAATTGCCTCCTCTTTTCAAACTGTATGATAAAAAAACATCAAAAACATCAATATGGGCATTTAAAATTTCTAATTTATTTATGAAATTCACAAATTAGAATTTGTCTCATAGGTCTTAACAAGGTCCTCTGTCCTTAACCCTCATCAAGAGTGAGGAGAATCTACCAAATTCATATTAAAAGGGGGAAAAAGATGCTTCATGTAGCTGAACTCATCAAAAAAATTACAATATTTACAACATTGATCAGAAAAAATTGTTCTTAACATTATGGAAAGATGTGTCAATGTAGTAAGTATTTATACATAAGAAAATGCTGTTTGCTACTAAACCGACAGAAACAGCAAAATACTTTTGTCGTTGCTGTTTCTGTTGGTTGAAACACACACACACACACACACACACACACACACACACACACACACACACNACACACACACACACTCAGAAAGCCATAATTTGGTATGTGCATGACGGGAAGTCGATGGGCAGCCATAAGAGTGTGAATACCGCTGCGTCAATGATGTTCAGCTCACTGTTCTGCCATTCAGCACTCTGCAGCCTGCAGCTCCATGCATGTTACACCAGGACACTATGTTGTGCTGATCCACCAGTCAGATAATGGCACTGACATCACTCACTATGACAAAGGATAATAGAACCGTTTGTCGCTCCTGCTCTGCCATTATGGACAAACTACCAGCAAATAAAAAAAAAAAAATCTAAATAAGAGTCCACACTTTGTTAGTGGCTTTGTGAGAATATACTGTACCAATAGGCTCTTTGTTGCTTTGAGCTAATGCTATTATCATGGTTGTTGCTTATACCTTTCACTTTAAGGACTGGACGGTTAGCAGTTGTGTCGAGTTAAATGCAGATAAGACTGAAGTTGTTATTATAGCTTGTGATAACATCACGTCTAAGGTTTCCTAGTGGGTCTCCTTCTCCAACTGAAGAATCCATTCTTAGAAATCTCGGTGTCATTTTTGATCAGACTTCATTTCGAACAACAGCACATCAAATCCTAAACCTGTTCTTGTCTCATCCATTTTGCAGTGCATTGCTTTCTGAACTTGTCTGTTTGGAATGGGCTGTTTGCTTAGCCTGCGGTGATGCTGGTTGCAACATTCTTTCTGAAACTGGCCTGCAGTAATTTAGCTGTTGCAACTAAAGATCAGCTGCAGGACTCAGTCCACAGAACCTTGACACTGCACAGCTGCTGCACAAAAATCTGTTCACCTGTTTATTCAAACTTCAGCACACTTAACCCCCGAACTGGAGAATCCATTGTGATCAACATAGTCACTTACATTAATGAGTCTGAGCCGCTGCTGCTACGGAACTCTGGTCATCTGTGGATTCAAAGTTTATTAACATTGAACATATCACATGTCCAAATCAAGCCAATTTTCAAAACTGCACTTCTTCAGGTCATTAACAACACAAATGCCAAGTGTGAAGCCAATAAGATAACGTTTTTTTTTGTGTTCCACATACAGACTGTTAGAAAGACAGGCAGAGATTTCTGGAATATAACAGAATATGAGTTTGTATGGCGAACTTACATGGTTGGGTTTTCAATGGCAGAAAGGTGCTGTCCCTGTCGATTATATGATTCTCCCCATAACTTAGGAAGTGAAACACCTGTTCGTGTAGCTTATCCAAGGACATAGAAGAAGACTTTTTTAAGAAGAAGAGTTTATTTTTTTTAAATTTATCACACGTCCAAATCACATCAAACTCTACACTTCACTTCCCTGGGACCTTAATAACACACATGACAAGTGTGAAGCCGATAAGATGAAAGGTACAGACAGAGATTTCTGTAATTAGTATTAAAACCAGAACTGGAGATAATAAGTCATGCTTTTAGATCTTCCAGGCTCGTTTACTTTAATTCTCTTTTCACCTAGTTCAGTCACAAATGGCCCAGAATGCCTTACATCACCAGCAGATCACTTAGGACGTCTGCCCAGGGCTTACTTGTTGTCCCTCATTTGTGATTTAAACACAAAAGGTGATAGCATATTGAAGAAGTGGCTCTGACATCCTATTTAAATCAGATTGGCAGTGTCTCTCGATGCCTCAAAAAAAAGCTAAAAGCTTGTTTATGTAAAGGTTCAGTGTGTAGAATTTAATTACATCTAGTGGTGAAGTTGCATGTTGCAGCTGAATAGCCCTCATCTCCCCCTCCCCTTCCAAATGAAAGATAACCTGTGGTAGCCTTCAGTTGTCAAAAAAACTCAAAAGGTAGTTTTGGCAGTCAGATAGTTTCAGTCAAGATTAAAATGCTACTAAAATGACTAAACATGCAATTTATTAACGTATGATTAGAGCTGACAAAAACCACCAAACATCAGATTTGATCATTTGAAAATTGATGAGTCAATATCACTCTCCTCTCTCATCTTTGCAGGGCTCCATTCGGAGTGGGTGGTACTCGCAGCTCGTGTCTGTCCAGTCCAGTTGGTGGGGGAAGTGGATGTAGTCAGGTGGGGAGTAAAATCCCTGACCCTTCGTCTCCAGGATCCCCAGGGCCCTCTTTGCCCCGTCCCTCCACCCCACTGGTAAACTCAGCCAACTCTATTAACGCCGTCAGCCCCGCCTCCTCGCCGCAAACTGCCGCCGCCCAGCTGAAGAACTGCCTGCGATCGAGCCAACACACAAACCAGGCACGCACCTCAATGCAGCTGGGTGAGCTAAAACACACACACACACACACACTTATGGTGGCACTCAAGAAAGACACAAATGAGAACTCAGAAGTTGAGGTACTGGTGTGAAAGACAAGCCGCCTGCTGTGAAAGGAGAGGTGAATTTCATTACACTCCTCCAGAGAAATGTAAAGTAAGTGAAGAGAAAGTATTTATGACATGTAGACGTCTCCGTCTCTGGTACTTTTCCAAACTTCAATCCTCTGCAACTTCACCCCCTGCAATGGTTCATCAGCCGACAGGCTTAAAGGAGCAGAGTCCAGATCATGTGGGACCTCGCAATGTTTGAGGCCCGTAGTCTCTGATTACAGTATAATAGAATATTGATCGGTCATCAATTCAATTAGCCTCTACACCATGTAAATATATTCAGGCATATGCTCTCAGCAGCATCTTTGACCTCCTCTTTCATCAGTGCTGTTAGTCATGTGTCAGAAAAAGCTGGATAAATGCCAACATGAATGAGAAGAATGCTGGAGAATTCAAGGACAAAAGTATGTGGACATTCAAACATTCCAATCATGTTTAACAATTTCATTTTACAGCCATGGGCATTTCAGAAGACATATTATGAATTATGAGTTTCTCTCTATTATGTAGGATTTTTTGTGTATGTAATAAGTTTGCAAATTTAAAAAGCCCACAGTTCCTATTAAAGGTAGCTCCTCTGGACAATCACAATGCAGTGGGCCAGCCAGCCAATCAGAGCAGACTGGGTTTCATCATGTTTAGTTATAATGATGCATGTGACATCACAATACCCCATTTTACATAAAAGATGCCTCTCGGCCCACCCGACGTGCATCCTTACAAAACCATGCAAAGCAAAATCAAAGGTTGAGATGCTCTGGAGGCAGTGGACCAATCGCAACAGAGGGTGCTAGCTGGCCAATCAGAGCAGGAGGGGGGCCTTAAAGAGACAGGATCATTTCAGACAGAGGCTGAATAGAGGAGCTGCAGCAATGGACAATATGAGGAAAGTGATGCATCTGCTGAACATCAGAGCATGTAAACGTCAAGTAATAACCCACCTTAAAATTATGAACCTGAATATGAGCACAATATGTCTCCTTTAATAGCCTCTTTTAACAGCAGAGACAGTACAGAGATGATGGGAAATGAGGGGAGAGAGATGACGCATGACATGCAACAAAGGTCCACACTTAAACTAGGGACAGTGTAATTATACTGCCAGCATCTCACATCTCTAGCTCACCAGGATACCCTTACCCTGCATGTGAGTGACCTTTGGGGAAAATAGATGAGAACATGAAAACCCCACAACAAAAAGAACACAGACAGCTGCTGGAGTCTTACTGTGAGGTGACATAAGGCCAACATGTTTTCATTCTGTGAACACTGAACAGGATTGCGTTTAGGTAAATAAATTGCGTACATTTCTTTCTTTCTGCAAGGTTGTGTGTATGAGAGGGTTGTTGTATTGGCTGTATCTACACAATGTTCGCTGCCATTGTTTTTCTATTGGTCAGTCACACACACACACACACACACAAACACCTGCGTCTGCACAAGGTCTAGATCATATCAGCCTCGCTCTCCACTCAGAGTCTATTCATCTCTCCAGCACCCCTTTTTCCCTTCCTCTTTGTGTCTGTTCTGTCTCCCTGAGAAAATAATGGTGAGGCTGAAGAGTACACAGTGTAAGAACATGGCCAAGAATAACAGACACGCACACGCATATACAGCCACACACACACACACATCTGTACTCCCACACACATACACAAATGAACACAGACTCACAAACACACGGTGGAATGACATCACTGTGTTTTTTGTTTTATGGAGGCGTAATGACAGAGCTTCATTCCTCCCTCTCTCTCTCTCCAGCCCTTTCCCTTTTCTCTCATTTTTTCTCGCACACACACACACACACACACACGCAAACTCATGCATCTGGTCTCCATTACAAAATAAAGTATGTGCATAGTTCTGGCGTTTAGTGGTTTTATCACATGACCAGTTCGCCTCTCTGTGGATTTCTGCACGGCACTGCAGTGTAGAAGAGCAGGTGGTTAGCAACCGTGTGTGTGTGTGTGTGTGTGTGTGTGTGTGTTTATGAGTGTTTTTTGTGTATTTCCATGCTAAAAACACTGAATGTCCTCATACAATTTGAAGGCTAAAAAGCTGCTTTATCCATCTGAGCCAGTTTTTGTTGCAACACAGGTTAACATCAGAGTTAGGACCTCAATTTGTTTATCATGACTGACACAGACAGACAGGAGCCTTATTTCAGAGAAACAGATTATTTTAAAACCAATTCTCTCCTCAGATATTTCATAAGCGGATCATTATGTTCCCTTTGGCTCTACCACACACTGATAGCTGCACTCAGTGAAAAACCCTCTCATTTGTACTAATCCATGTGCATTTCTCTTCTTTTCAGTACACAGTCCCCCTGCTGGAAGCCCAGAGCGCCCCACGGTGGCCATTTCACCTCTGCGTCCTCAGAGCTCCTCCCCCTCGCGTTGCCCCGGCCAGTCGGGTCGTCCTCTCTCCATGGTGTCTCCGGGACCCAGCTTAGGGCCCTCACCCCTCTCCTCCCCAGCCTCGCGGCCCCTCCTGCCGCTCTCATCACCCCTCTCGTGTCTTACGCCTCCCAACGTGTCGGCGGTGCTCCTCAACGGCGAGTCGGCCATTCCGCTGCAGCCGCCATTGCCAGGCCCCTCCCACGCCCCCGCCCAGGGCGCCCTTGCACCCAAACCAGAGAAGGTGAGCTTCTGACAAATAATTATAAAAATCTTCAGCTTTGCATCAACATTCATACAGTGAGAAATCTTGTATGGAATGAGGGTCCTGACAGTCGCCTTAAAAAAGTAGAATTCTATGTGACAGATTGATTGTTTTCTCATCTCTTCTCTATTATTTTCTGGACATATATAACCAAGCGCTGAATGCAGCAACTTCAGAAGCAGATGCAGGGAGAATTTCCATATAATGACAGAATTTATACCTCTAGATAGCAGATATACTTGAGTTTTTAAACAGGTAAAACAACACAAAAATGGCGATTGAATCCGTCTCCATCTCCAGTAGAGGAGTTTCCTTTTTTATCCCTGATGTGTCATGATTGACGTCAAGAATGTGTGGGGAAACTTAGAAGCTCTTTCACCTCACTGCCAGTGCTGCCTTTTGCTCGATACGAAGAAAAAATTTTGTTCTACGTTGTTCCCAAGAAAAAAAACAATAAGTACACAAATGTTCATGTTCCATTTATGCGCTAACGCCTGAGTTCTTTGCACATTGTAATGTTTTGTGGAAAAACTGCAGCGTCAGCGTCTAGACTGCCAATATAAAAAAGAAGAGCAGATTAGCCTGTTCACCCAGGTGTCATGTTTCCATCACTGCGGATGGGAGCCGATAAATCCCCTTGTCTTCTGTAGAGTCATTTGACATGGGAGTGATTGCAGATTGTATCCATTCCCATTGCAGACAAAAGCCAGATGTAAGTGGGTGTTAGTGGATTTTTTTGACCAGTAGAAAAGTGGTTTTAGAAACTTAAACCATCCTGTACATATTGACAGATGCAGCAAAACAGTACATTTTAAAGTGCACAGTATTCTGACCAACAAATATCTTCATCCTTATTAACAATTTTATAAAGTCCAAGCTGCTGTCTGATGTTTAATTGCTTGTTTTGTCCAAACAATATTCCAAAATCCAAAGAATCATATCCGGTGAAAAAGTATTACCTCATCTGGTTCTGACATGGTTTAGTGTATGTAAAATCTGTCATGGGTATGTTTGTATGTGTGTGCACGTCATGTGCCAGTCCTCTACCTCAGCAAGTGTCCCTCACCCAGGGAGCTGGCACAAAAGTCATTGTGTACGTTGTGAGATGTGCAGCATTAAAGCTGTAGATGTTAAATCAGGCTGTGCTGACAGTGACGGATGGCACCGAACACTTGCATCTGTCTCAGCTCCATTTGTTTCACTGTTGGCTCCACTGTCTGGGACAGCTAATCTAACTACATGGCTCGCTGACAAACAGCTCATTGACTATGGAACACCAGGCAGGAACCTTGTTTACATAATCTCTCTCTCATCTTTAAAACTCTTATTTCTTTACAGGCCAGCTTCAGGATTATATATCGTACATTCATGAATTACAACAAGGTGATTTAAGTATCATCTATTAAACATTTGTTAAATGTAGGCTATTCATACTTTCATTTCAAACTGATATTAAATAACTTTTTAAAAAACAACATTTTAAATGTGCAGAAAAACTTGAACACTTCTGAAATTCTTTGGTACGGTAGAGTATTGGCACAAAATAATAAGCCAGTGCCATCTTTTGCCCACAAACATTTAGCCAAACACTTCGTTCCCACTACCTGCCTTTGTTACTTTCAGCTTTGCAGGGCAGGGACGTGAGGGTTGAAGTCAGGGTGGCGATGAGTCCATCTGTGTTACAGAGGGAATGATGAAGTGGTTATGATAACTGTCCGGCAGAGAGTTTGGATAATCTCCATTCCAAACAGTGTCACATTGTCTGGAGCTCAGCCGGCGTCACACAGACACACACATCACGTCAGACGTGTTTGGAGACAATTTCCAGGAAATCTGCGCATGCAGGGCGGAGGCCAAATAAATGGACGTAGGACGAGTGTGTGAAACAGAAAGTTCACTTAACTACTTGAATCCTTGCTATAAATGTTTCTTTTACTTGCATGTGTGTTCATACAGTTAGAATGAAAGACAGCTTCATACTCACACACAATGATTTGTTGTTTCTGTGGAGCAGTATTGGGAGAAGTTTCAGAAATAGATGTAATTGACTTTAATACATTTCTCAGGAAAAACATTTATTTGTAGGACTAAGGATGTGGAGTCTGTGGAGACTATTTATCAATTAAAGAAAGATTTTGGAAGCATATGGGGCAAAAAGAAATGATGAACTTAAAAATAGAATGTATGGATGGGGAAGGTTTTTTGAAGCTGACAGCTGGAAGAAAACCTTTATTCAACCAGGAAAGATTTATGAATTTATTTTGTTTTTTTTCTCCTTTGTTTCCGAATTAGGTTTTTGGGCCTGTTGACAAGGTTGTGATAGTATATATTATATATTTATATATCAGACTGATTAGGTATAATTTGTTAGTTTTTGTGTTAATTGTTTTTGCTCTGTTGTTTGGGGAATTATGTTAAGTTATTGTTATTATCTCTTATTAAAAAATGAAAAACATTCTAAATAGGACTAGTGGGCTTCAGAATCAGAGTGCGTGTGTTTGCTGCTCTCTAATGGCTCGTTTTGGAACAACAGCAGCAGTGTGACCCACTAATATAAACTGACACACAGGCAGGCACACACACTCAGAGGCGGCAGATTAAGCCTTTAAGCTTGCAGATGAAAGAATGTCTCCTCCCTTGCTTTCCCTGCGTCCCTCTGTTCTCTCCTTCCTTGCCTCTTACTTTCTCTCCTCATCATCCTTCCTTTCCTCCTTTCTTCTCTTTTCTTCTCCCCGTCCTCCCCTCTGCCTCTATCCCTCCCTGAGTCCCTCCTCCACCACTCCGCTCCCTCTCCATATCCCTCTGCCTTTCTCCCCTCCTGCTCATCTTTATTTTGCTCTCCATCATCTCCTCCCTCTCCCAAATTTAAATTCCTACAAGCTTTATTTGCATGACAGGAAGGATATCTGTTTTGTGTGTGTTATAATTCAGCACCTTGCCAGCGCACACTCTGCACACTGGAGGCAACTGGATTCTCCAGGCAGTGATCGTCAGTGGTTTTATGGAAAGGGGGGGGGGGGCATTTAAATGATGGGAGACAAAGAGCATCTGCATTCCCGCATGCTGTAAGAAATAATGATATTAAGGAAAATGCATAACTCTAAAACAGTGGCACTTATGTGGAGACAAAGAGTGCTGTTATTTTTGTATAGTGGGTCTGACGCAGTGGTGGATTTAGCAGTTTGGGGGCCCAAGGCAAACTATTTTCATGTCTTTCTCATAAAAACGTTTTTGTAATCATCATCATAAAGGCCATCATGTGAAATACCAGGAGCGAGTAAAATGTTCGGGGCCCAAGGCAATTGTTGACCTTTGCCTAATGGTTAAGTCCGCCTCTGCCCAAAACCCCCTTACGTTGTTCACATAATAGTAAAACATATTGAGAATAACTGCTTAGTGCAGGAGTGAATCTTTAGAATCTTGAATTTAAGAATATTGGAAGACCAATGGCATTTATGGAGATCACAGGTATCTTCATCTCACAGCACCATGCCCAGGAGAGACAACCGACCAAAAAGGAAGCTGTTTAAAGCCCCTTTCCTTCAGGACCCTTCAAACTGTCATGAAGCAGAAGCTCCACCTTATGACGTAATCAAGCAGGAAGCAGAGAAAGAAAGACAGAAAATCGGTCAGAAGGAGGGTGATTGGATAAATAGCCCTGAGCAGTTTCTGTTGACCGCAGAGAAGCAGTCCACTTCTGATGGCGTGATCACCACAAAGCGGAAAGGAAAGAAGGGAAGAAGGATGAACAATCATCTAAAGGCTAAGAACATTGATGGCCCTGAACAATGTTGGGTGAGCAGGGAGGTCTCCATGCAGAGATCTTTAGCCCAAAGAAGCAGCAGCAGGAGGAGGAGGATCTGCACACAGAAAACCTCTCTCAACTTGAGTACAAAAAGAAAGACCTGGAAGAGGAAAGGAGAGAAATGGAGGAGGACGAGAAGGTACTCAGTGAGCAAAATAAAGAGTTGGATAAGGAGAGGAAACAAATGGAGGAGGAAAAGAAAAAGCTCAGTGAGAACAAGAAAGAACTCAACCAGCAACAGAAGGAACAGAGGATGGAGAAGCAACTCAATGACTATAAGGTACAACGAGAGGAGCAAAAGAAAGAGCTGGAAGAGGAGATGAAACAAATGGAGGAGGAGAAAAAGAAGTCTTTTGACTTGGAAAGATATTCAGTCCTTGTGCCTCAGGACAAGCAACAGTAGCTCCCTACAACTCTCCACCTTAATACCTTCCTCCTGTCTCTCACCCTGTCCCCTCTCACCTTCCCTTTATCACCCTCATCCCCCCCTTACCCCCTCCCTATACCCCTACCCCTCATAAGCGTACGTTCATTTTAACTGAATTTGTATGTATCATACCTTGTCACTTACAATGTGAAATAAACGAATTTCCTTTAAAAGATGGTCTCCCTCACATTTACACATGCATTAATACATTATGACGAGGGTTTTTTTGTCTTTGAATTGTGTAGAATGATCGTTTTTTTCTGACATTGCCGTCTTTTGTATTTCTCGATCAGAAACTTGAAAATGGAGCATTAATGACCGTTTATAGGCTTGATTCATAATCCCTGACATTTATTCAGCAAACCAAGCCGGCCCTACGTAGACTGACAGCCCCTGGCGGATTAAACAGCCATTAAGCCACAGCCATTCACGAACCCCTGGCTGGCAAATCCCAGCCATGCATCACCAGAAGATTGCAGGCTCCTCACACGGTTTGCCATAGCAATGGAAAAAGTGCGGCCACTAAGTAAAAAGTTGCAGTTAAGTATTCGATTTATTAAGAAAACAGAATGAGTTCATACCTCCGTCAATACCCAACGTCCCCTTTAAATTCAACCAAGCTGCACCAAAGCTTCACACACTCATAGATGAACAAGAATGAGCTTCTTCTGCTATCTTGGATGAGGGGTAAAAGGCTTTTTTTTTGCCATAAGTTCTACATGAGACTGATATTGATGGACTAAGTACTAGTTAGACTACTGCCACAAATACTATGGAGTACTTATACTTTGTACTTTTTGAGTAACCCTCTGTCCAAAGACAAAGCCTATGTTATCCAAGATAAAACTCCGATTCCTGACTGTGGTGAAGCCAGGGTAACGCCGCTCTGAATTTTGAGAAATTCCACAATTGTCCCACATTTGAACATTGAATTGGATTCGTCTGAAACTTGCTGTGCTTGAAAAAAAACTGGGTAAATTCGCCAGGTGATCTATGTTTTACCTGTTTTTATTTGAAAGTCACTTAGGTTGAATACAAGCAAACATAGAAAATTAACTGATAAGCATTACATGGTCCCATGACGCTCTACCTTCCTTTTCTATGTTGAGACATTAGGGCTCTGGATCATTATTGTTTTCATTTTTAATCATTTGATTTTAATAAGTGATCAGAAAATCTGATCGGGTGAGTTTTCCTTTCATATATTATCATGTTGTTTTTTTAGAGACTTGGGTGGCATGGTGGAAGAGTGGTGTGCTGCCTTACAGCAAGAAGGGTTGATGAATGTTACAATACATTTTATATCACAGCGCCTTTCTAGACACCTTAAGATATATCATAAATAAATAATAATTAGAGTAAAACCAAGCAAATCTGATTTGGAAACACAAACATAATATCAGTACAACATGTGTGACACAAGTTAAACTGAGGTTAAAATCAGGTTAGAGGCAAAGACACCAAGTTTATATATTAACAGGAGTGACTAAATGAAACCCAGTGATTAAAAATCTGATTAGTTAGGTATAGCGAAGGTAAGATGCCTTTTTGTTTGACTATGGTTGATAGTAAAGTTTACTGCTTTAAAAAACTGCTAATTTGAAATCTTGATCATGAACTGCAAACAGGTTTCACTTGAAGCCTGGTTCAGCAGTCCACCGTCTTACAGAGCCATGTGCAAAGGCTTGTAAAGTTGACCTCAGGGACTAGTGGGCAGTAGAAAAATAAGTGATGGGACACAGATGTATTCAAAATGTAAAATACATCAAAAATGTGTTTATTACCCTAACAATAATTCAAGACTGCAGAGATGTTTCCTCCAAGGCCAGGATTCTTTACAAGTCGAGGTGGTGGAAGCTGGAGAGTTTATGCACAGACACACTCGCTCACACTCAAACGCCAGAATCCTGGAAAAGCAATCTGTGAAAACAAGAATGGCACTCAGACCTCCACCAAGGCCAAACAGTCCTACATACAATATGTCTGTTTAGCTTTTATAATTGAAACATAATAGGGGAAAGGATGTCGTCTGATAATTTGCATCACTTGTAGCTCATCGCCATAAATATATATATTACCCTCACAAAGTTGAATGTAAATCAGTTCAGCACTTTTTTTTGCATATTCCTGCTGACAAAAAACAAACCAACCAACACAACCTCTTTGGCCGAGGGAATGAACTTTGCTCTGGAGGTTCTTGTGGTTGAATAATTGGGAATTTGTTTAAATGTCACAAGCAACACTTGGCACAGTAGTTCGGTTATGTGATTTGTACTGTTGGAACCACCAATACCTGTCAATTTACTGTTCTTTATTCTGGGGAGTCGAACTTGATATTAACCTGAGGAGTAATTATCAGCTGCTATAGCTGCTCCATCATTGAGGTCATAGTGAGAAAAAGAAACATTACACATGTTTAATGTCAACTATGACTCTTTGTGTCGGGATCAGTGCAGTGAAACACTGAAAACTCTGGATTTATCATGGCTGCTCTCCAAGCTGCTACTGATGTGGATCATACTTTTAATGTTTGTTTTTCCATGTGATTATGAGAAGCAGAGTTTACCTTGTGAGTCTGTTATTAAATAATGAGCTTTGTTGGAGGCTTACCTGGTCAGCAGGTTAATACGTCTCTTTATGTTCTGCTTTCTCTCCTCCACTCTTTCTAGTGCTTGTTCAAAGCATCGTCTGCTGCCGTCCTGTCTCTTATTCTGATTGCAATATAAAATACCAGCAAGTTTTCTATTTAGTTGTTTCTCTTTTATATTTGCAACAACTTGTTATGTTTATGACAACTGCATCACTCAGACGATGCTTGATAGAAAATTGGCAATTTAAAAGTCTAATGCTCGTTCCAGCAGGCAGCTGTTTAAGAAACAAATGGCTGCAGTGCAGACAAAGCTGATATGAAGGTGCCCTGCATCGCCTAAAGATTGTAATCTTGCTCGGCCATGCTCAGTATTGATCCACGTTATCATGATTGAGTGTGTAAAATCAGCAACAAGTGGCAAAGGAGAGAAAGTGTTTTTGTCCTCCTGGTATTTCACACAGAGCCGAGCTGAATGGAAGGCATCGTACAGGCCCCTACATATTCAAGCCTGAATTGAAAATCATGAATCTGCTTGTATAGGAGCCATTGAGAAACACATAGACTATCACTGCACTTTATTCTTAGACCACTCCAGTAGATGCACACGAATTCAGCTTGAAGGGTCATGAATGAAACTAACCACACACAGTGTAACTGAGCAGGTGCTCACACTGTGAACGCTGAAAACAGTCGCTCGGTGGAATAACTGCTTGTTTCTGAGGGCTGAGTGGAGGGCAGCAGAGAGGAGAAATGAATCACGCTGTCTGCTTTCCCTTTGTTCTGCAGACTGAGCTTCCACGAAAAACACACTCCGCATGATGCTATGGTCGCCATGTGAGGGCCAGTTTTTAAAATCTTAAAGGGGACATATTATGCTCATAACCAGGCTCATAATTACAATGTAGATTAGTAAACATTAAAAACACATCACTTTCCTCAAACTGTCCATTGCTGCAGCGCCGTAATTCAGCTTCTGTCTGAAACACTTTATTTTAGCTTCTGTCTCTTTAAGGCCCTCTTCCCATAATGCACAGTCTGGCCCACTCTGTAGTAATTGGTCAACCACTTCCAGCGCATGTAGTAAATGTCGGCCTTCGCTCTTACTTTACTTGGCTTTGTGAGGGGGCGTGTCAGACTAGCAGCTAGGTCGCATTATGCAAATGTAGCTGGTTTGGTTTTGATTTGAAAACCTGAGGAAACTGACTCATCTGAGATGTGTCATAAAATTCGGTATCAGTATCCACTGGTTTAAAGGGATAGTTCCACATTTTTCTAAAATACCCTGGTTTGCAGTTTGTTTTCTAAATAATATAAAGTGTATGGTAATACCTGCTCTATATCAAAAGTACCCTGAGATAACTTAAATGATGATTTTATGTAAATTCAATTGACTTAACTTAAAGAGTTGGAACTGTGGAAAACAGCTTAAGTCTGTCCAAAGCTCAAAAATCTACCAGTAGATCTAAATTGCACAAATTACCACAGTGTATCTTGTTTGCTAAATCCTCACACAAACAGAAATATATAAAACAACTTGTACTTTTGCAGGAAGTTACCTGCGTTAATTATCTTTCTGCAAACAACAGTCAAGAGCGCAAACTTCCCGAGTCGTGGGAGACGGTTCCAACAAGAGACAGTTCCAACATAACTAACTCACAAGCTAAGCACAAGCTCTAAACTCCTACACACACGAGTGGTTCTGTACAGTATCGGAGTTTTCTCATCAAAGTTTCAAACTAATGAGGGTAAAATATGAACAGCAGTGAAGCGGCTGCATCATGTATCATTCCTCTGAAAAACATTTCCTTTCCTTTCAACATTTGTTTCAGAAATGTGATTTTTGATGACTGTGTGGTGGGTGTATTTATCTTCTTTGCATTTTATGTAGACAATAGGAAATAAAATACGCTGAGGGGATATTGTTTACATCACTTTCATTACCATCGTGTCACTTTTTGTTATGACAGGCTGTAAAAAAACCTACATTCTTGTATATCTCTGGAAAACAATGATCCTTACTAGCATTTGCTGTTTGTTTTGTTCTTCCCTCCATCCTCAGAAGGAGAGGAAAGCAGGAGGTTTATTGAAGCTTTTATCTGGAGCAGCGTCCAAAAAGAAACCTCGCTCGCCTCCCTCCTCCCCGCCCACCCACAACCCCGCAACGGATCCCGCGCACCATCCTCACCACCACCACCACCACCACCACGCTCGCTCAGGTTCCTGCCCAATGGCGTCGCACGGGCGAGCCGGCTCCTGTCCAATTGAGAGCGACATGGCTGGGGCGATAGGGCTGGAGCCGCTGCACAGGAAATCCGGGTCCCTGGATACCAACTTCCCCTTGTCGCCCCCGGCAACACGCACAGCTGGCAACCCTCTGTTGGTGCTGCGGCCTGAACCCAAACCCCTGTCCAGAGAGAGGTGAGCACACATAGATGAATAGATGGATAAATGGATGGAGGGATGGCTAGACAGATGGCTAGATAGATAGATTGACAGTTAGATAGATAGATGGACGGACGGACGGACAAATAGATGGGGCAAATGAATGATTGGATGGAAGGACGGATGGATAGACAGGTAGATAGATTTAACCTGTTTAAGAGATTCTCACTACATAGGCTGCTGTTAATTTCTTTTAATATTAAGGTTCAATGAAACATGTTTCCATTACATAATCAATCATGGGTTTTTTTCCTGAAGTGATAAAAACACTTTATTCAGTCACGTTCTGTGTGTAAGATAAAGGCTTCACACCAAATACTGTGGGTTAAGCACTTCAAGTATTTAATCTGACAAGTGACCATAATAATCCAGAAAGAAAATATTTGATTATCCTGACAAAGTGGTGGAATATCAGGCTGGAGGTTATTTGTCATCAGGATCCAGAGTGTGAAGAGAGAGACAGAAACAGTCCTGAGAGAGTTATTAAAGCTGCTGATAACAAAAGCTCAAGCACAAGAGGAGAAATGGACACAGGGAGAATCAGCCAGAGGCGGCTTTATCACCATTAAGTCAGTACTGCAGTGAGTCCACTCTGTGCGAAAGTTACACCAGGGTTTAATCAAGGTGATAGTTCTCACTCTGAAGCCTGTTAGCAAGCAAGTTTCTTAGTGCTGACCACGAGCAACACTTTAAACTGAGTTGAATCATCAATGGATCATCCTTTTTATTTCTCCTGCAAGAGAGATACAACGATACACATGCTGGCAGATCCAAGTTCTCTCTCTCTCACACACACACACACAAACAAACCTTTGTCTAAATCTGAACCTGACCTTAAAACATGTCTTCACATTAAAATTGATGATTTATTTATGTGGACTTGCATTTTGTCCCCATAAGGAGGAAAAGTCCCCATAATTTGACAGTAAACATACTTCGGTCCCCACATCATGAGTAATACTCGCACCACACACACAGTTTTGTGCAGCTGTCCTTATTAGGACTTTGCATTGACTAACATTCATTGTGTACAGCCAAGCCAAAACCTTATCCCTAACATTAACCATGACCACTTCATACGTAACCCTAAAGGGATAGTTCACCGAAAAATGTGAATTCACTCATTATCTACTTACCACTATGCAGATGGAGGGGTTGGTGAAGTGAAGAGTCTCAGGGGTGAACAGTGTTGCAGCCAATTCCAAAACAGTTGAAGTAACTTGTCACCATTTCTTCAATACCTCCCTCACCCCATACATCTACCCCATAAATACTTGTGTGGTGTCATCCAAGTGTCCACAAGCCCCAACATTCAAATTCAACTCGAAACGTTGTCATTTACACCATGTTTTAAGCCTATGTATCCTCTGATATCCTTCTCTGGACGTTCGCACACACCGAAAACACTGCACACACTGCGCACAAGCTCTCGTCCAAGGGCACACCCACCAGCGTGGTAGAATCGCTACATCTGTTAGCGGATAATTAGACTAAAAACGTGGTGTAAAATGACGCCTTTTCGAATTTGAATGTCAGGGCTTACAGACACATTTGTGTAGTTTTTTTTAGGAGTCTGGGTGAGTGGGTGAGAGAGAGAGAAACCATCTTTCTTGCCAATATTTGGTACAAATCAAACCCAGTGGGACAGTGGTTCACCACCAAAACATAGACACAGATATGCACCGACAGCTCCAGATATAACACAGAACAGGGCTGAGGGCAAACACTCTACCATTAATCATACTGGTGTTGTTATGTTTCACATTTGAGCTTTTCAACATTTCTTATCAAAGCCAAGTTGAAGTAGTCAAATTTAGAAATGTGTGGCAGGAATGCATATGAAAATCAATGGTTACAAAAACTAGAATATCACTCTGTAAAAATGCATACCTCCACCAAGGCCCAACAGTCGCCCCATGAAACCACATTTAAGTTCACTTGACTTGACAGATTTTTATTTATTTATTTATTTATTTATTGACAATGTTTCCTTGTACTCATACCTCCACACCTCTGTCGGACCTTATTAAGCTCTCCACTGACACATGCACTGACTGAATTCTCTTGGGTGGCTTGTTCTGTGCCTGTGTGTGTACGGCAGGTATCGTGTGGTGGTGCCCTACCCCCCGCAGAGCGAGGCAGAGATCGAGCTGCGGGAAGGAGACGTGGTGTTCGTCCATAAGAAGCGGGAGGACGGCTGGTACAAAGGCACGCTGCAGAGGACGGGGCAGACCGGTCTGTTTCCCAGCAGCTTCGTCGAGATCTTCTGAACTGGAAAAAGTGGACAAAAGAACACACACACTGTTTCTGAGTCACACAACACACACACAAACAGGCTTCCAGGTCACACAGATGCAGACACACACACAAGGGTTGGGCCGATATTGGTTTTGGATTAAATGTGGCCTTAAAAAGATGCTAGCCCTGAAAAAAAAAATATATATAAGTCTGGATTTGAATTTATTTTTGGGTTTTAAAGCTTTTTATCACAAAACATTGACCTTGAAATGAAAACATATTTAATGCTGTCACAAAGCAACATTAATATTATTGACATTAATAACATTAATAATATCTTTATTTTAATAGCACTTCTCAAAACAAAGTTATAAAGTCCTCACAAATCAAACATGTAAGTAAAAACACATAAATATAACATAAAAACACAAAGAATAAAAACATTCACTGTGTGACAGAAATGTATGACCAGCGAAGCTTTGATTCAAAGGAAGCTACTGACTCAGCCTGCCTACTAGTTTACAGAAACCCATATAGGTCCAACCTACTTTCACACACACGCACACATGCACACAGGAAAGCTAGCTCCAGCTTCGACCAGCCCAGCCACATAGGAAGCTGGGCGGCTTTTCCAGTCGATTGCCCGCGACAGCGTTCTGGTCCTCGTCCACCTCGTTGCGCGGGCTCGTGATGTTGACTACTGAAGGCACACAGACTCAAAGAGCACAGAAAGACTAAAGCCCGCCTCCCAGCTCTCCCCTCCTCGCCATCATCCACCAGCAAACACTAGCACAAAAAAGGCATTAGCTCTGCTTTTCCGCTGAGACCTCAGAACTTGAATTCGGGTGCTGTCTTTGTTCGAAGCGTTTGGAAAACTTTACCGCCGGTTGATGAGGCAAGCGTGTGAGCCCACACGCCGTGATCATTGTAAGCACATATCTGTGTCTAGTTTGTGACAACAAGCACATGTGTTTCCTTTCGATATATGTTAAATGCATGTAGCATTATGTTTTTTTGTATATGTTGAAATAGATGTTTGTGTTGTCCCAAACTAGCCATGCTGTGATGATCGGTCACAGGATTTGTCATCTTAAAACCAATTGGTGCAAAAAGTAAAATATGACTTAAATGATTCATTTTTTCTATTTATATATATCTTATATAAAATTTCTACGACCATTTTTAATTTGCATTTCTTCGTAGACCTCTCGCGGCTGCATTGACCTGAGAGAACTGGTTTTGCTGAATGTACGAAGAGAGAGAGTGACGCCAAAACTGAAAATGGATTTGTATTTATAGAGTTGTGTTTTTAACTTGAAAATGGAATTAGAGAAAGAAATGCACTTGATTATATCTGATACAACTTGCCAATATATCGACCTACACAGTATTTTACACACTTATTTGACAAAAGGGATTTCCATTGCTACTTTTCATCTATTTTAAGAGGAAGCCCATTTTTCTTTTATGCTGGCACAAATCCCTTTGGTAGGAAGAAAATCATCACTGAACAACAACAGGAATTCCTTTTCCTCAGCCTTTTCTGGAGATACTGTTGAAAGTTTGTTTTTCAGCAATATTGTAGATCAAAATGTGCAGTTTTGAAGCCTGTGGAAGAATGTTCAGTCGAGGCGGAAACCCCCCGTGAGTTCGAGGGCAGGGACGCACAAATTTTCATCACACGACTGCCAAACTTTGACGACTTTTCCTCCTCATCTGTTCGACCTCTAACAAGTATTTTTGTACGGCTTCAGTCGGTGTATTGTCAGTCTGCTTTGTGAATTTCTACGTTCCTGAGTGTTCGAGGGTATTCAGGCTCGTCTAGTTTACATCCAGCCACAACCATCTACCTTTATTTTTCTGGAGATAGAAGCACAGCGAAACTCAAAAGCTTGACTTACTCAGTGTGCGTGTGTGTGGCAATAAAAGAACAGTTATAGGGCAGCAGTGGATTTCCTCACCTGTTTTTTTCTTTTTTTTAAACGGGGCCAGAACAAAGCACAAACTGCCACTTGCCCTGTGCACACAGGTGAGGCTCACTCATTGGCTGAGCACATGTTTGTCTTATTGTAATCAAATCATAACCAAGTGAGAAGAGTCGGTCAATCAGCACTTGTGAGTCACCTTGGATAAAGACAATTGTTGTGTCCTAAATCACCCACTCTTCCATCCATTCTAAATTTTAATTAACAAGAGCACAATGCATGATGGTATATATCGCTCAGTAAGTGAGCGTTGGTTATGCTGTACTTTTCATGATGCATTGTGGGATACAATGCGTGCACTAAACAGGTATAATATATAAATCATTTGACCAAACATTGGGACAGCACTACAAAAAAGCAAACTCACTTCATAGTGATTAGTGAGTGATTTTGGACACAGCCAATAAATTACAGATGATAAATCAGAAGCACAAGTGCAGCAGAAAACTTCAAGCTTGAACAAAATGAGCGCAGGAAATTTGTATTCACTTAGTTTTACCATGATTAGATTGTTGGGAGAAATAATTAAATCCTAATCCGTTGAACAGTGAAAGAAAGTGAACAAAAACATGGAGGTGAGACGAATCTCACAGTGAAAAGCGTCTACGAAACAGTCAAACCCTAGTGCCTACAAATGCCAAAACACACACACACACACACACACACACAAACTGTATCTAACACAGCAGCCAGTCTTTCGTCTCAATCTCCTTCGTCGATACGATGAGCCTGCTGGTTGTTGTTTTACTTTTTTGCTCGACTCAACGATTAAAAAACCAGCAGGTCCCAGAGCAGCTCGGCACAAACACCCGAGCGAGACTTTCTCCATGTGTTTATACGGCCGCTGAACAGAGGACTCTCATTTCTACTGAGTCAAACTAAAGCACAAGTCCTCATTTGTGTCGGAGGTGAACGGGTCTCGACTGTCTTTTCTTTTTTTCTTGTCACGAGGTTGATGCTGTGAGGAGGAGGAGGAGCGTTTACAAGAGTCAAAACATCAGGAATACAACCACTGCACAGTGGTCACTTTACATAAGGTTTCACTCATTTCTTCTTTGTGTTTTTATTGTTTACGTGATGTGAGCTTGTCTTTTGGCCTCAGCTTCCTGGTTGTAAATACCACTCGAGTGCTCATGGTGACGGCTTGAAACACGTGAACGATCTAATAACAGCGGCGCTAATTCCCGCTGGATGTGGACACAACACATCATTGCACACATTTTTTTTTCATTGGACATTTGGAAAATTGCTGTCCTCTTCCTTCCAGGAAGCCAGAGCACTCGCCCAGCCATCTTGAATTAGATGTCAGCCATATTTGTTCCTATGGATACGTGTGTGCGTGCGTGTGCGTGTGAGGGACGGGAGCCTCTGTATGTAGCTCTTTACAGGAAAAAGGAAACTTTACGACAAAATGCGGCTTGGACGCTCATGCCTCATCGGGTCTCTAGAGTCAGTTTGTTTGAGAACAGCGGTGCAGCAAACGAGAAATTGAGAGAAAAAAAGAAGAAAGTATATATATAATTCTATATTGTGCAGAATATTTATAGGCCTTTTGTGCCATTGAAGTCATGCTCTGCGCTGACCGTGCCCAGCGCTCTACCATGTGATCATTATACATCGTCCTGTACTGATGACCCGTGGTTGATTTGATTGTTTTTTTCATGTCAAGTGCATTTTTCGCAATAAATGCCTTTGTTTTAAAACAGAATTTCTGTCTTTTTTATGCATCTGCTGCAGCTTCATAATAGAGATTTAACGGATTGATGTGTTTACTCTTATGCATAACAAACACTGTATAGCTCATTAGGATTTTACACTTGTCCCCCAGATGATTCAGCCTGAGCATCATATCTGTTCTAATTCAAATTATTCACACTCAATGTGTTGTCATTATGAGCTACACTCCAGGTGAGGTTATCTGACTGTGTATTATTATCTGTGTGATCCTGACACTTCCTGCTGTCTGTTCATTATTCCATCACATCCTTTGTTCCCCCTCCTCCTCCCACCCTTTCTCTCCCTCCATCTCTCCAGCCAACCAACAGCATGGCCGAAGTGTGTAATTGGTAATTTCAGCGCGTCGCCGCCGCTCCCCCTCGCATGACAACCTCATCTCTCCGCCAGCCGGGCCTGTCTCCCAACCATCACCTCCCATTTGCATTTAGAGTGAGTGGCAAAAGGTGACAAGGGTGTGTGTGTGTGTGTGTGTGAGAAAGTGTGCCAGTGCAGGAGTGTGACAGTTATCTGGGATGTAAGTACACTCTGAAAAATCTTGACTCAGACATACAGACTAACTAGTATATTGAAGATGAGCAGGAGGCAACAGCAAATTGAGATTTTTTTCTGATTTCTGCTGTGCAGGGAAAAAAAGTGGCAGAAATCTATTTGCATCCAATATCTGAACCACCCAGAGGGTAACTTAAGGTGTCTTTACACTCATATACACACGTATACACACTTTCTCCAGAGTTTGCCTCGCTGTAATGGTTCCCCTCTGGGACTTCTTCCCACCGAACAAGGTGCTGCAGGGTCCTGCGGGGAATCGATCAGCATTCTTCTGCTTTACGCCAGACCTGTCTGTCTACCTGTCTGTGTGCCAGAGTCACATCAAGGGCAACGGAGCCAGAGGGTAAGACACTGCAGGGAACAAGACCTCTACCAGGCAGTGCAGAGCAGTCCCTGTGTGCGTGTTTGTGTGTGCGTGTGTGGGAAGATGCTGTGCTGTCTAAAATCCCTGGTAATCCTTTATTCTCTTACCTTCTGAACAACTGGAAAAAACATGATTGTCTCTAAATGTTAACTTAAAAATCAAGCAGTAATAGACAGTGGATCATAAGGGATAAAAAATATTTATGTACACAACTCAAACATTGTTCTTCGATAGTTTATACTGTAGTAAGTGCTGGGTCAGGTGAGCCCTCAACCATCCCTTACTGCTATAGGCCTAGACTGCTGGGTGAACTCTCATCATGCACCGAGTACTTCTCTCTCCCTCTCTCAATCTCTGTGCCCCCCATTTATTGTACTCCATGACACAAACTGTGTCCTCTCTCTCTCTCTCAGGATCTAGATGTGCATTAGTAAAGAATTCTTCTTCTGTTCTTGGTCCCTCTCTCCTCTCTGTCCCCTCCCACATTTTTCTCCACTCACCCCAACTGGGAGTCGAGTGAACTGTTGGGTTTCTCTATGATATTGTGAGGTCTCCACCTTACTATGTAAAGTGACATGAGATAAAGTATGCTATGATTTGGCGCTATACAAATAAAATTGAATATAAAATATATCAAGAAAATATCAGTTATTCTGCTGGTGATGACACCTTGAATGAAAATGCTTTGTGATTAACAAAGCCTCTGATATGACTTCAATTTCCAGCACAAACACATTTCTGGGGCTCTCTGGTGACCTGTAGGGGTTAAGGCAACATCTGAACCGTAATGTCCCTGGTTCAACTTTGCTGCTGGTCATTTCCTTACTCTCTCTCTCTGTCCCCTTATTTCCTGTCACTACTGCTGTTGACTGTCTCCAAAACACATTTCTGAGACTTTGGAAAACATGTTTTCTTTGCAATGATTTCTTCAAAAGGTCTTGACTTTATGCTGGTGCATGATAGCATCCCCAGGTCAATGGTTGTTAACTGTAAGAGCAAAGAAACAGACAGGGCAGGTAGAGTGTATCATGACAAAAATACAAAGATTTATTTAGAAAGAAGGAAAAAAGAAAGCTCCCAAATAACACTGTTTATTCCTTAAATACAAGTGTAGTATATATGTGTGTCAAACAAACTTTACTCCATCGGGAATCTGTGTGTTCCCCTGGATGTCGAAGTGGATTTGTTTAATTCTTAGTCATTTCACACAGGTAAGGCACTAACACATCTCAAGCACTAGTGTGAATATAAAGTGGCAGTGTTTGTGAGTAAGTGTTGGTTCAGAAATCACTCATACTGGAAACCAGCACCTGGCTCACTCTGTACGGTAAAAAGGCTGCGAGGTGTGAAACCCTGTCTAATCGTGACTCCAGAGAGACGTGAATATAAAAAAACAAGCTTAAAATAAAGTCGCAAGTGCTTCCTCCTGCTCTTCCTAAACTCCCTCAGGAAACACTGGCTTGATATGTCTTCTTTTTCCCCACAAGTCAGCTCTTTTTAGACAGACTGGTTTGCAAACTTTCAACTGTTTGTGTCAGCAGAAACAGTAAGAGAGCAAGTAAAACCATATATATATGTATAAAAATATAAATATGTTGTAACTTGTACTTCCTTCTAGAGACCTGTGACCGGATGGGAGAAGTTCAACACTCAGAAGTAAATCTTTCCCTTTGGAACAGCCACAGGAGAATCAGTGACTTTTTGTAATGCTGGTGTGCACATATTAAAAGGCTTATAGAGCATTAAAGAGACGTACATACAGAAGAAGAAAAGGTAATTAAAATGCCCTGTGACCATGCTTATGACAACTGTTCTACTGTTGTAGATGTGATGTACTAAATAAAGCTTCAGAAAACATCACGGAAACAACTTCAGCCCTTTTCAGACACTGAACGTGAAACGTTGCAGGATTCAGCTACGGATCTGTTGAATTGATGTTTGATATTTTATCGCACATATCTGCATATGCTCATGTGATATTTATTCTCGGTGCAGTGGCAGCACTGTGATTACATGTAAATATTACTGTTTTCAAATTTTGCAGTTGAATGATACTCACAGTGTTATCATTGACACTGTTGTTTATTTTTTCTTCCGTACGTTTTCCAGTCACAGGGACAGTGGATAACTTTGATATACCTATGTTTGTCATTTGTGATGAGGTTTCATGATGATTCGCAAAACATGGGTTAATTACACTGATTGGCTCACTTGTAAAAAAAATGTAGCTTAATACATTTGAAATGATACACTTAATTACCACTGCAATGGTTGATAATGGTAATAGTGTAATTGTAATTGTTGATGGTGGATTTTATTGGTTGGAGTAAAGCTATTAAATAATTACTATCTAATCTTTCCCTTCTGGTTGACAGACACAACTTTAGATTGACACCTGATGGTGAAAGACGTGGGTAGAAGAAGAGGAGGATATAAAAACTTGACATTGGAAGAGGAAATCTGAATTTAAACAAGTCGTCGGAATGGAGGTAAATATATTCAATATATACTTTGAGTGACACAACTATGACTAACCTATTTTTTTTGTGCAACAACTCAGTCAAAATTTCCAAACCAATAAAATACCAGTTGTAGTGATGACGAATGAAATAGTCTGAATGAAAAACATACGGAGGAAGAAATTATAACTAGACCTGCTGAAAAGTTGCTGAATTGACATGAGTAAAGTCTCATTCACAGTATTTGGCAAATTACGATAGAGATTTTATTTTCACTAAGCATTAAAACTAAAAGGATTTTTATCCTCTCCTGTTGTAGCTTTTACATTTATCCTGCATTAGATTAAAACTGGTTGTGTTATGGAAAAAACTGCCACTCCAACTTAGTTTTTAAAAAAAGCAATTTGCAGATTTCAGACTTTGAGACTGAAAATTTCTGTCAAGTTTATCGATGAGGTGAATGTCTGAAAAGGGCTCTTCAATAAATTACACGCATGTTACACTATGTTACAAACGGTCGTAGGAAAGTCACAAGACTAGTTTGGTGCAAAACGATACACAATGAGTCTTTAGATCAAACAGACAGAAACAGATCAAATGTAAGTGATGAGGTCCCTCAGACTGTATTATTTGTACCTATTTATCTCTTCTGAACTGTGCACGTCATTTAGTGAGGAGGCTGCGTGAGGATCAATCCACTGAGGTGTCCCTCAGTCTGGGCAAAAAAGGGAGGTATATGGGAAATAAATGTTTTATATAAAAAAGGATAAATATAAAATGTAAAAACACGCACAAAGAGGATTACAAATACCATTGGGGAAAGTGTACACTGGATTCTTGGCTACAGTCAATATACTTTGGCACAAAAACAAACTCACACACTGCTGGTTTGTGTGGGGTTTCCCTGGTTAGTGTTTGAGACTGGCCTCAAAGGGCTGGAAAGGATTTGGGCAGAACGCCACTGGTTATACTGGTCGTAGTGGAGTGTACTTGAGAGTCTTCACATGAAGCCAGAACTAAAAGAGAGAAGAGGGGCAGATGTAGGCAGATCAGTAAGCTGAGGATCCATTATAACTGGCATAAAAACAATTTAATGTCCTCAACATCCATAAATATATTTCTATGTTTTCTTTCTTTCACTTGATACAGTGCAAAAAGTTAATTAATCAAATGAAAGCACAAGAGGCATTGAACATCCTGACTCTAAATGTCCACAGCAGTCTGTATTCTTCGTCATCAAAAAAACAGGTCTAAAAGTAAGGATGTTTAATAAATCCATTAAATACAAGCGTCAGTGTCTTACTTCTTGCGGTCCTTGTCCTTCTTGCCGTTGACAGTGAGACTCTGGGCCTGCAGGAGCTGAGCAGCAGCTCGTCTCTTACTGAAGGAGCTCTGGTCGTCCTCGAGGTGTCGCTTCTTCTCCTCCAAGGCTGCTTTCTCATCTGCATGGAGGCGCTTCAGCTGCTCAAAGCGGCTCTGCAGCTAAAACACATACAGCACCAGAGAACAAGGTTAGGTTACAGACATGCCTGTATTTTGATAGAATGAAGAACACAAACATTTCATTACAATTTCCTAATGAGTTGCTGCCCTCTACAAAATTCCTTGAATGGCCTTGTATCTGAAAGGTGCAGTCTAAATAAAAAACAGCAATGTCAGACTGTCTTTTGAATTTTGAACAGCTCATCCGATCTACGTGTGTGTGTGTGTGTGTGTGTGTGTACTTACCTCTCTCTCAGCCTCCTTCAGCTCGCCCTCCTTCTCCTTCACCCTCTGCACAAACATCTGCCTCATTTCATCCTCTCTCCTCTGCAGCTCCACCAGGAACTCCTGACGCTTGGCCTCGTAAGTCTGCTGCAAACTGCACACAAACACGTGTGTTACACATGTTTCACACAGGTTAATTGTGAGTCATGTCAGTTGTGCATTTTGCAATGTGTACTGTAGAAACTGTGGTTTGTGAGTTCACTGCGCACCTGACAGGTTTGCACTCAGGGTCTGTGTCTTTGAAGCCCATTTCCTCCAGTTTGCAGCGTCTGTAGAGCTCATAGTGTCTAGTGTGGGTCTGTTCTCTGAGGTCCTCCATGTTAACACAGATCAGCATCTCCCTCAGCTTCACAAAGTCGCAGTGATTCTCGTTCTCCACTGAAACGCACATCAACAGACTTTAGTTTAACTTTTTCAAGTGTAGAAAAATGTAGTCTGAAGGGATGAATAGATGTTTCATAGTGTCAATTAACAGCAAGATCTTAGGCACACACAACACAGAAATCCTCTGACCTTGTACTACACCCCAGGGATACTGACGAGCCTTCACCATCTTATTGCCAACGCAGACTTCCTCTGTGCTGCCGACAACAGCAAATGGCAAATGACCCTACAACAACAGAAAGTATTAAAGCAGGCTGAAAAATACAACTACACGTACATTTATACACTTATTAGGTCCCAACTGTCCTTTATGCCAACTCCATCAGCAAATCTGTATCATACACATGGTACAAATACAGTGTCTGCTTAAAGTTATATTTTTAAATCCTTGCTGAGCTTCAAAATTATGCAACTAAAATATGTGAAAATAAAACTTTTGGTATACTGTGGATGTGTCAGACTGATGACCGTGAACTAGAAAATACACACTACCAAAAAATACACTTCTCTAAAGACGGGTTTGTGACCTGGAATATTTAATATAACTGTATTTGAGATTATTGAGGGCTATTTTCTGTGAGTGTGTGTGTGTGTGTGCGTGCGTGCGTTTGGGTCCTCTTACATTCATAGTAGTGTTGACTTTTGCCACGGTCTCATCATCCAGGGGGAACTGGTAGATCTGGACGCCGTTGCTCACCAGCTCACTCATGATTTTAATCTTGAACTTATGCAGCTCGCTCTTACTGATGGTGTCAGCTTTGGCGATCACAGGGATAATGTTCACCTGCAGCAGGAAGGGACACAAGTTCATAACACATTTTCCTTCCTCAACTGACATTATTTACTACAAATATACAGGCTTCAGGAAAAAAAAAGTTTTATTTTGAAAAAAATTGTATTTGAACTTTTCTATAGGTTGGGAGGTTTAAATAAATCACAGCTATAAATAGTTTAATAGCAGCAAAGTTTTTATGTGTTTGTATTTATTCTCACTGTTATTTGGATGTAGTTTTGTATGATTTAACTCAGTTACTAAGTTATAGCCTTATCCATTTTGACATTAACAGTTTCAAACTAATCTCACTGACCAAAGAACCATGAAAATGCATGGAGACAAAGTAAAAAATTAATGCTACTGGCAAAGTACAATTCTATTAAAAAAATCCTCCTTTTAAACCATTTTTAGATCAGTCTTATATAAACCAAGTTTACTGATGCTATTTCTGGCCCAGCAGCCCACTCTTCTGTCCAAGTCATCCCACATTCCTGCCTGTATGTCATCTTGTCGTACCAGAGCGAGAGGCCTGGAATGAGCCACTGTCACTAGACAAGTTCCTGGGCCAGACCACACACACCAGTACACACAAACAAATGCACACTGATCCCAGCAGAGAAAACAAAACAATGCCAGGAGATCTATTCCAGCAGCTGTCTGAGAAATGGACCGTCACTCTCTGTCAGCGCAGCACATTCAACACACGGCTCCTACTATGTTCCATCTGTACAGTGACACAAAAGGACAACTCGAGTGTGTGTGAGCAACTGTGATTACAGCATTCCACTGCTTTTTCGGCTCCATTCACACGCAAATCCGGGGCTACTGACACTCCGGAGCAGTGAAATCACACAAACACACAAAGAAACACAAAGTCACAACACACAGAGAGCATGGGAAAGTTTCTGACCACTTCCCACTTTAGGAGAGATAGACGGGAGGGGTTCAGGCAGTTGGATAGTGAACCACTTAGAACAGAGACAAAAACAAACAAACAAAAGAGTCGAGTATAGCCCTTTATACACAAATGGTAAATGGACTGCATTTATAAAGCACTTTTCTCATCATGATTCAACTCATTCACCCACACATTCAGAACTCTATGTATTTTTTCTATCAAACATCACCGGGTGTCAGTCGGGTAATTTGAGGTTCAGTGTCTTGCACATTGACACTTTGGCATCCAGACTCTATCTCAACTGTCCACCACAATAATTTCAGTGTATGATTAGTTAAGTCAAGTTAATTCACATAATTCAAAACTGAAGTGATCTCAGAATGAAACAAAAAGTAGTGCCCATAGCATGTAGATTGTTTTCTACCCAAAATCCCATGTTGCAATGAAGGATATTTAATTGATAAAAAAATGATGTTACTACAAAATCAGTCATCGCACCAAGTTGATGCTTTGTCTGGTTCTGGAATCTCGATTCTCAGCTCATTGACAGTAACCTGTTAAATGTCTGGTGGTGGAGTTGTGAATGAGCACAGCTTCTGCAACTAATCCTAAACAATCAAATAAGTTATGATCTCCACCTGTTTGAGGGGAAAACATATTGTTTACTTTCAAGAGCCAATATTGTAGGTCAGTGTTTCGTCGTTTGTGTTTTGTTGTATTAATAAATGACCTTAACTGTTTATTCTTGACCTGGGAAACAGTAAAGCTTCCCCTCAAGATTCACTAATTCACTTGATCTAGATCTGTTGATGCAATCACAACTGCTCAAATATCAACCATCACCATTATTTCCCATCCTGGTCACAAAACGTTCACTTCACTTCCTTTAAGTACATGGTTGCTTTGTCTTATCTTAGTGTTTAATACTCTGCTGCTTTTATGCTCCCAATTCCTACTGAGAATATGAATACGCTGCCTTTAATTATTGTATTTAGGTATTAATCTATAAGGAGTGTTAGGGCCCAGGGAGTTGGCTCTGTCTTTGTTGTCTTATGTGGTTGGCTGAGCTTTTCCTTTTTGTTTTTGGAAGTCGAAGGGTGGAGCTTAGACCTTCACAGCTATGCAGCACACCTGGGGAGTCTGGGCTCAGGAATCTTATGAATCAGACCTGCTTGATCAAGTCACTGCCAAGTGACTTCACACCTCACATCTATGCATTCACACATTTAATACTATTCACACAGATTCTTTTCACAGCCAACCTGCTCAGAAATACCTGCAACTAAAATTTTTTTTTCAATAATTACTACATGTGATCACACTTTTGAGCCAGCCAATGAAATAGTGTCACCTCATAGGATTAATATGTGGAACTGTCGCAGTTTTCATGGGTGCCAATCTGCCTGACATACCTCAGAGAATTCCAAAAATGTCCTGTTCATCCTCATCTGGGACACACAGTACATTCTAAAATGCTCCTTTAGAAATCCAACAAAATAAATAAAAGTCCATCTAATGTAATATACATTCACTTAAGCCAACACAAAAAGTGATTCTTCTCCTACCTTGCTGTCTAATTTCTTCATTGTGACCAGGTCCAGGGATTTGAGGGAATGACCTGAGGGTGAGATAAAGTAAAGGCAGGCATGGACTCGCGAGTCATGGTAGTTGTGCAGAGAGCGCTTGATCTTTAGCTCCTCCTGCAGATAACTCTCAAACTGTCTGTCGATGTAGTCCACCACCGGCTGATAGCTTCAGGAAAGACACATAACACGGATCAGTGACGTGAACACAGATTGGTTCACAACTGCAGAACATCTAAAATAGGATGTTTGTCAAAATAATGATTCTCAAATCACATTCATCATCACAAAAACCCATTTGAACAAACTTCTTTACAGCTACACATGCTTACCTCTCTTGCTTGTTCATTTGGTCTCCAAAGCCAACAGTGTTGACCACAGTGAGGCGCAGTCTGACATTACTCTCCTGCAGGTCGTAGGTCTGAGCCCTCAGCTTCACCTGAGGCTCAAAGTGGGATGACTCAAAGTTCTCAAAGTTGGTATTGAAGAGAGTATCCATTAGAGTGGACTTTCCAATACCGGTCTCACCTAGAGACAGAAAAAGTCATAAGACAAATTTACCAACCATTGCCATTGTGGTGGAGTGTTTCCAACTAAGGTGCGAAATTAAAGGTCCTTTAAGATCATACTGACCCAAGCAACAGCATGTGTCAATGTACATGTAGTGCAAAGAGAACATAGAATTTATTTTAGTTGTTGTATCCTCTTAGTTTCATTGTGTTTGTGAGTGTGTGTGTGTGTGTGTGTGTGTGTGTGTATATATATATATACCGATGCAGAGAATATTGAAGCAGAAGCCCTGGCAGATGGACTTGTTGACAAGCTGATCTGGAAGGCTGTCGAAACCCACATGGCCATCCAGGGATAGGGGTCGGACTCCTTTATCCTGAGGAAGACATCACACAAACAAACACCTCATTTTCAAGAAGCTGCTGCTATTTCTTTTTTTCACAAAATAGAAAAAAAGGTTAACACAAAGGAAGAGGGATTACTTAAGCAGATAATACAATTTAAACTTTTAAAATGTGCTCAATTACCTCATCTAAGCATTGTTACATGAGGTGCTGGAGTGACTGACACTAGATTCACATTATTAAGACTGATTTTCACTAGGATTTTAAAGATACCCATTCATACATTTCTTATTATGAGTAATTACAAATAATTCCCTTATTAATTAGTGATTTCCAGGTATCACATTTACAAGTAGCTCTAGATAACTAGAATTAAAAATCGAAACGTGTGCTGGAAACGTTGGCGTTTTCTACTTCGTGTTCATTCCTGGTCAGACTCCCTGGTTGGAATGTACGTCCTCCATACTTCATTCATAATAGTGGGGATTTAGTGACGTTCATGGAGCTACAGTGATTTGATTTACTCACTCGAAATAACATGTAGGAGCTCCGTGTGTGGGCTGATTCGATGTCGGTAACAGAAGCAGGACAACAGAAGTGTTTTCTGAAACTTTTGCCTTTAGGTGGCTGCTGTTGAGTTAGCAACCCAGTGCTAATTACTTCACCAACATACGAGTGTATTTTGGTGGAAGGTGTTGTGCAGAATCCCTTAATAAATAAACTGCAGTTACTCGCGTGTGTTATTGAATGTGATATCATTGGAAACGCCGCCAGGGTTTAACTTAATAATAACTTCACGGACAGAAACTATCCACCAAGCTAACTGAGGCTAACACAACGTTAGCGGTGGACACTCCCTGCTCCACTGTCAAGAACTGGGTCATTTGTCAACTACAAGGAGGGAGAATACAAACCGGCTGCCGAGCAACGTCCGAAGAAGCCATGGTTTGATACAGAATGAGTCCAGAGACAGTCTCAGGGAAATCACAGTAAATAAAGACCAAAGTCTTTTTCTCAACTCGGATCAGGACGAGCCGCCTCACAGCGTCCACAGTCGACAACTGGACAGACCGCACCATCCAGAACAATGCAGGGGTGAGGAGCAATATTTCGACTTTAAACGGGCTTTAAAACGGACATTCTGGAAACGGGAGAAAATAGAAAAGCGTATTCAAATATCTCTCATTTTGAAGGGCAGGATTGACTACAGTTATCGGTAATTAAATTTAAGCAATATCTATATTTTCTGGTAGTTAAACTTAACCCCCCCTCCTCTGTATAATGGTATGGCTCAACTTGATTCTCCCAGCTGCTTTCAGGGTACGTTGCCTACTGCCGGAAAAATGTAAATCCATTATTGGCGCACAAGACTGATCACTCTCATTTCATCAGAATTCATCATTACACCATGTTAATTAAATATTTTGTGACAAACATATTTCATCTATTTGATTTTAGTTTCCCTGGACTTTGGTGCATTTGTTGTGAGGCTGAAATAGTTTTTTTTCTTACCTAAAAGAGACATAGTTCAATTTCTTTTCCAAAATTTTGAAATTGACTTTATATAAGTAAATACCTATTTGAAAATGTGAAATTTAGCAAATGTTGTAATATTAGTCATTATTTGTGTATGTTGTGTTGGACAAACAGAGCAAATATATCTCCCAACAGAAGTGCAAAGTTAGAAAAACATTAATCAAGATAAATCTACAAATATCTTGCCACAGTTTACAATTACATTATCCTTTTTATTGAAACACACACAAAATACATACAATGTATAGACAAAGACAATATCAATGTTGTCAAACATATAGAAGGGGGATATTTAGACAAATGTGAGAAAGCTAAATCAAAATATCTGGAATTTACTTATGGAACTTCTTCGCTCTCTCCTCAGTGATATGGACAAAATATTTCAAAATAATGTATAAACGGTCAGAAGTCGGAGTTTACGAGGTGCACTTGGACGCAGCCCAGTTTTTTGGCCTTGGTTGGTGTGAGCTTCAGCGAAGTGCGCCCCCTATCTGCCGGAGCCCGACACTGGTGCTCCTGCATGGAGGAGAGGAGGAGGAGGCCGGAGAGAGGAGGATGCTGTCGTCACTGACCTCAGTGAAATGACAGCAGAATGAACATGGAGTCATTTTAAGACCAGCTGTTACAACCTCCATCATCTTTGCGCGATGATGGCGGCGCGGTGCACGGAGCGAGCCGTGCAGGAGTTCCTGATGGAGAGAGGAGGGAGGGTCCAACAGATGGAGCTGATCGATCATTTCCTCTCCCGATCCGTTGCGGTGGTGGGGGGAGATGACCAGCCGGAGGAAGGGGTGGATCGCGAGGTGCTGAGACGCGTCGTGGACGGCGTGGGCTTCGTGAGGGTGGAGGACGGTGTGAAATTCGTGTGTTTGCACGCGGAGGGCAGCGCGGAGGCGGCGATGCGAGGGGACGCAGACGGATCCGAGCGAGCGGAGTGCAACGGTAACATCCCGCAGACAGCGGGGCACCGTGGGAACGGCAACCGTGACAACACACTCCAAACAGGTGAGCCAGAGGAGAGGCTGCCTTTGTGTCAGTGTTGTTTTCCACCATCCTCTTCATGTTTACACTTCATGCTCTTATATGATGTCACTGCACCTGCTGCTGCAGGTCGTACATACGTTAGGTTATAGTCAGGTGAATGTGTTTATCATTTGTTTACTTGTGTTAATGTTGTATGCAGCTGATTGACTGACACTGTCAAGTTGGCTGCCAGGGTTCGGCCTTTGTTGTGAATTGGTTTTTGCCAAATTGCTGCAAAACTGCCATTGTTAATTTAATTTGATTTAATTTAATAGACCTCTTCAAAGCCAAACATTAAAAGCTACAACAATTCAGGATAATAATCGCAAAGGGCTGGGCCATATGGACACGAATGTTGTCAAGATAAATGTCAGATTGATGTAAGAGTGACTGACATACCAGGTTCATACAGTTAATAGATATTAACTTGCATTTTACATTTACCTGTGCATTCATTTCTTTTTTTGGGTGTTTAAAATGATTAACTAAATTATTGTGATCTTGAAGTATCACTCACAAAAATCCATGCTGTACAAGTTCCGTTTATCAAAGATGGGTTTATGTCTGGTCAGATTTCTTGGTTTGGATGTGTGACCACCAAAGTTCATTCTATAATATATCGATTTAGAGCTGCATGCATAAGTAGAATGATTTATATAACTTACAAGTATTAACATGAATGAGTTACATTTATTAGCGATTTCGGTGTCAGTAAGTGGAGCACAGGAGTGTCCAACAGCTCAGCACAAGTTGCAGACTTAGCGTTAGTATTATGGGCAATATGACCAAAAATGTCCTCCAGGTAAAATGTGTTAATATGAGTCAATATAGATAATTGATGAATGTCATGTAATTATTTCTTAACTTTAATTACTGATTTTTGCTCCTGAGTGAATGTTGTGGTTTAAAACTCTTAAACAGTGAATGACAAACACTCAATAAACAGTGACAATGCCATTTCCACTTTGTTCCCAGGAGTGCCAAGTCCACCTGGGGAAGACCTGGACAATGACAGACAGTCGAATGGCAACCGGCAACCTCTGGCTTCCTCCCAAATGAAGGTCAACACAGGCACTCCGGCCTCCGCTGGGAGAGGGGAGGTGAAGCTGAGGGACAGGAGGAGGCGAGAGTCGGCCCCGATCATTGGGATGCCAGATCTGGACCAGGCTCACCCTGGGTGGTCCCACAGCCAGCAGGTGAGAGGGGCAAGAAGAGTGTCCAAAGGCTCCCAGAGGGCCATGCTGACCAGCTGCCTGTCAGAGGACAGCACCTTAGAGGGGCTGGACCCCATCGGAGATATCAACACCCCCAAGGGAAGTCGCAGAAACTTCATCGAGCTGATGATGAGCAGTTCTCCACAGGTATGTGTTTCTCTGGCATGAATAATAATAAAACAGATAGTAACTAGATTGTTGGTTGGTTTGTATGTTTGTTTGTAAGCAACTTTACATAAAAACTACTGGAAGGTTTACCATGAAACTTGGTTGAAGGGTGCATTATGGATCAGAGACGAATCCATCCAGGATTTATTTCACGTTCTTGAACATTGGGAGTTTGGATGTTTTTCAACACGTTCCCCCAGAGAATGATTAGACTGTTGCACCTTGGTGGAGGCATTCACTCTACTGAAGTTTGTATGTCAGTTGCACAACCCTCTCTACAAGACATTGCAGTTAACACGATTAACAATTTAAGCTTGTGGGCAAGTATTTTTTATATTCATCTACAGACTTTACAAATGGCTGCTGCTCTGCTTTGGTTGTGCATAACTTTGAACCATGTTCATACGTTGGGCCGCACCTAGAGCAGTGATGTCATGGTAAGTGCTTCACCTTTTGGGTGTGATCCAAAACCGTAATGACACATGACGAGGAAATACTATTTGAATTATAAGAGTCAGTAATGTGATGAATCAAATCACTTTACTGTGTGCAACTTGGAGAGGAGACAGGGTCTCTTCCAGGATGTCTTGATGACAGTGCTTTTGTTCCTGAGTGAGTGGCAGCAGGGAAAAAAACACGCAGCCTCTCACAAGCTCATGGAAAACACCATTTGGGGTGTGATCATAAATGCAGTATGTATGACACGTAATCAAAATTTCTGTAACCAAGAGATTTGACACAACCAAGCTATGTGTAACCAGGGGCGGATCCAAGGGCGGGGCCAGGAGGGGAATGACTCTGATTGGCCCCTAAAGTGCCTCTGTCCTGTCAGTTGTTCCTTCTTATGAATACAATAAACTAGTCACTTCCCAATAATAATACATTTTTAGAAAAAAATGTTCTAAGCTTTTTGGTGCACACAATGTGTTTGAATAAGCTTCACAAAATTTATTAAATGATATGTGGCTTTGTTCAAAGCTGTAGCTAACAGTAAACAAGGTATGAGTTTAATGTTACTGAATCAGGAATGGGCAGAGTGCTGGACATATTATTTATTTTGTTTGGTTCCTTAAATCTGGGACATTTTAAACATCTTGAAACTTTTATTTATGGTTCTACTGAGATCCTGTGAAGAACAATTGAAGCAGGGTATTACCATGATTTTATTATCTGTTGCGACACAAAACAATGAACGTAAATTGTGCTCCACTTGAATTTCCCTCGTTCTTCCCTTTGCAGGTCCGGAGGTCCCTGATCAACCGCGGCTCTCGCCTCCGGGACTCAATGAAAAGTGACGGGGATTCTGTATCAATCCTCTCCTCAGCCACGGATGAAGACTGTGCCTCGGTGACCCTAGACCCACTGGAGCACGAGTGGATGCTGTGCGCCTCAGACGGCCAATGGGAAAGCCTGCAGCCCCTGCTCTCTGTCGAACCCAGCCTCGTGGCCAAGAAAGACTTTGTGACGGGCTTCACCTGCCTCCACTGGGCGGCCAAGCAAGGCAAAGCCGAGCTGATCTCCCAGCTGCTGGCCTTCGCCAAGGAGAATGCTACACCTGTGAATGTAAACGTGAGGTCGAGTGCCGGATACACGCCGCTGCACCTGGCTGCCATGCACGGACACACACAGGTGGGTGGTTGTAGTTGGGTGTCATGTGTTACGTTTGCTCAGTGAAGCAGCACATGAGCAGCTAAACTTTGCTCGAGCTGAAATCGTGAGAGGTCGTCTTCAAAACACAGCAAACTAAATTCTACTACCACTACTACTTAAATACTACTGAACAGATTTCTTTGAAAGTCTGTGGAGGGTTTGAGCATGACCTAAGGAAGAACCCATTAAAGGTTCTCCTGAGTTCATGTCTGAAAACAGTCTTTGTGAGAGAGGACAAGTAGTATCCTAATGTAACATGTTGATTAATAGTGGTTTCATGTATATTTCAGCTGCTATAACTCAAGGAAAGGTAAACATCAGATAACGTGACTCCAGTATTTGAATTTCCTCTGTGTTTGATGCCTGACAGGTGGTTCGTGTATTGCTGTCAGACTGGGAGGCAGACCCCGAGGCTCGAGACTACAGTGGGAGGCGAGCCATCCAGTACCTCCCCCCACCGCTGGCCGCCAACCTGCAGGAGGAGGGAGTGGTCACCTCACCGGGGGCCGAGTCAGACAGCGAAAACGCGACTGGCGGCAGTAGCAGCGGAAGGGGGCGTGGCTGGAGGTTTGCTAGAGTCCTCCAGGGCAACCTGAACCCGTTGCGGCTTCTGAACCCACCAGCTGAGGCGGCGGAGGAGGCCGGGAAGACTAAAGGGGGCATACAGAGGAAGTCGTCTCTGAGCCGACTGAACGCCCGGCTGCACCGAGGGCGCCACAGGGCTCAGATCATCCACAGCGCCTCCTTCAGGGACGCAGGGGAGGTGGGCCGAGGAGAGGAGCTGCCCAGCAGTCCCCTCCGCACCCGACCACTGTCCAACCTGTTTGGATGAGTTTGCCACAATTTTTAAAGCGGTTTGACACCTTTTTAATTTACAGGATAAAGTTTATAATATGATAGGTCAGACCAGAAATCACCGAAATTAAAAGTGCACATCCTAATATAGTGTCAAGCTGTTTTTAAAGTCTTCTTATAATACGTTTTTAAAAGAATAATCAAATATTTTTTCTAAGAAATATATATATTTTATTTTTGTTCCTATTGCAGTTTTTAGATTTATGTTGACCACTACATTTCTTTTTTTTTATCATGACACAAACTAAGTTAAAGCTCTGTGAAACATTGATTTTTGTGTAAGTGGTGTTTTGATTTTTAGGCTCTGATTTAGAGCAGGTAGCAAATATTACACAAGGTTTTTTTTTGTCTAATACTTTTCACTACAACAATGTTCACACACATTCAAAAGCACTGGGAAGGATTTTTTTTAGTTTTCATTTATGGTTTGACTCACAGTATCGAGGGATTTGAGAATAGCACTTGGTTTGATTCCACACAGTTTTATCCACAATCGTGTTTTTTGTTTGCAGAGTAAACTAATATATTTCTAGAGCTCATTTTCTATATTTCAACCTCCTCTGATTGGATGGTGCTGGATTTTTTTTAAAGTATATTTCTTTAATGTTCAACGTTTTTTTTTATTTTAAGTCTTAAGATTTTAATATTGAAACAGTTGTAACCACCATTATTTTGTGTCCAAACGGCCGTGTACAGTCATCATGTTTGCACTTGTCACTTTGAAGATAGCAGTCAATAACTGGAGGAAATCCAATCAACTGAAACCATGGCAACTATTTTTGGTCTTAGTTCATATTTACAGTTATATTTGATCAAATATACACAATAGAAGTGGGTGATCAAATTCTGCTGTAATCTGCTGTATCTATAAGTACACATGAGACTGAAATATTTCTATACCTTTCACTTCTGTTAATCGGTTTATTAGGATCCAGTTATTTGCATAAAGACACTGATCAGCTACACACTACAGTTGTTTCAAAGGGTGCAAGCACAGTTGCTAACAATGTTTATATACCTTTTTCTACTGACCATAATGTACCTCAATTCCTCAGAGCCGGGTTCACTTACTGTTATGTGACTTTTTCAGGGGGCTGGGTAATGGGTGTATTATGGGTCCGTGATGGTCAGCTGCAGTATTTTACAGTGTTTCAGACGTGTGTTTCTGCTTTTTTGACTATTTTCAATCTAAAAATATTCACAACTACCAGGGCACACAGAAGAGTGCCGACGTCCGCCAGGGCCCAACAGTCCCCGTGTAAAAAAATCATTTAAATTCAGTAGATTCAGATTGATTTTCATTAACATCCATGAATTGTATCTCACATTGTTAAATACAGTGAAAAAAATTACTGTATGCGTCTCCTCATCCACACAGAAATGTAATGGGGTATTTACTGGACCACGACCCACCCCTCCACAATATTTCATGGAAATCGGTTAAGGACTTTTTCTGTAATCCTGGTCACAAACAAACACATGCTAACAAAAACATTACCCCCTTGGTGGAGGAAATAATGGCACAGGTTCACTATTTCATGTAGAATTTCAACTTGACCAATCCCCAGAAAATAGACACATAATATAAATGATAATCAGTTCAGGTTAAAGGTTGAGACGACCACACACTTTAACACCCAGCGTGACACTGATCAGTTTTACAGTAAATATGCAAACACAACCTACATTGTATGATATTGAATATAAAGTCTATAATGTCCCTATGTGTATCAGTCTGACATTGCATTTTCTCACTAACCACGTCTGTGTCCTCTGCGTATTAAAGAGTCCAGACTTGAATATGCTATATATGTTTAGCCGAGTGGCACATCGACTTTTTAAACTGTTTTTCCCTGAATATGTGAACTTTTCTTTCTCAGTGACTCATCCTGAATTTCACGAATGTTCCCTTTGTAGCAGATTTTGTAGCTTTGTACTCGAATCACAGTAAATTTTGTGTCTGACTCTTTTGATGTTGAAAAAGGTATTACACAGATAAACTTTGATATTGCATTTTCAGCTGCATGAAAATGGGAAATGTAAATTCTGTGCATTTCTGTCTCTAATTCATTGCGTCATCTTAGTGGAATACTGTGAAGTTGTGTCCTTTTTTTTCTTCATGTCTCATTCTTAAACATGATAAAGCAATAATCATTTGCAAAAAAAAACAGACTCGCTGTTCTCTTCAGCTAAAATGCTCAGTTAGTAGAAATGTTGTGGGCAGATTTTTATCATCAATCATTTTTATTTCGCAACAATCACGAATGCTGGAGTGTCATCCAACCAAAATGCTGTAAATCCCCAAATGAAGTATACAAACTTCATCTGTCCGTCCCTGCTGCCACCAAAGGGATTGTCCTTGTCTGGTGGTGCTGAATAATTGATGATGTGGTGTCCCGCTGTGCCAGCTTTAGTCCAGCATTTACAGCATATCCACTGCTTCCTGTCCACAGGCTTCCCATGGGACACTGGGTGCAATATGTTCACAGCCGGTCCCCATTCATGCACCTGTGTGTGTGTTTGTGTGTGTATGTGTGTGTGTACTTCTGCATAATTGTCAGGATCAGTTTGAGCATAGACCTTATGGACATTTGTGAAGACATTGAGACATGTAAGTCATTTTAAAGGGTTGTTAAGGGGTTAAGACTTGCTTTGGGGGGGGGGGGGGGGGGGGGGCTAGAGAATACTAATCCTCACTAAGATAGAAATACAAGGTTTTTGTTTGGTTTGTGTGTGTGTATATGCCTCTAGTGTTCCAGGGACCAAACATTGTGAGAGCTGACCTTTATATCTGCAGTTATCTTGTTTGGGTCCAAATGGGTTAGAATGTAAAACGTGACATTTAATGCAAATTCACATTTTAACCTGCAGGTTTCAGTTTTTACATATTCTATCTGCATATTGAGCACAATAAGAAGTGACATTTCTACGAGCCATGTAGCTGAGCCTGTTATCTTGAAAATTAGAATGACAGAGAGCACACACGTCCACCAAGGCCCAACAGTCCCTTTATTTAACCACATTAAAATTCACTGAAAGTCTCACAATGTTAAAGAAAGTGATAAAAAATGACGACATTGGATCTGCACCAAAATTTAGTTGGTTCTTCCTTAAGTCACGCCCCACCCCTCCATAAAATCGGAAATTGGTTGAGTGGTTTTTGTGGAATCCTGCTAATAAACATACAAATGCAGAGGACATAAGCTCCTTGACCGGGGTAATAAAAGGCATAAATGCAAAAAAGCAGTGGATACTTGTATTCATACACCAACATATGCCACCTGTGATTGAACTGCAGCCCTGACAATCCTCCTGTGGCACTGAGGATCCTCCATCTCTGTGACTCTGGGTTTTTCTCATCTTTAAATCAACCAAATGAAAGTAGGAATACATATAAATGGCCTTTATCACAAATTTGTTGCCTGTTTATCTGTAAATAGGTTAGAATATATTCCTTTGATGGACTCTCGTCCAATCTTCAAGATTTATGGACGTCACTGAAAGGAGGATTTTTCCCGCTGCATGTAGATTCCAGCTATGACTACTCATCTGCACAGAGTGAAGTGCAAGTACTGACCTCCCGCAGTAGGTCAGTCACTACAGAAACGACAGCTACTGACCTACATACATAGGGAGGGGAGTGATGACTGTTATGTAAATTCCTCTCCCATCTATTCAGGGAAACTGTGCCAACTTATTTGTCCAATCTATCTGCATCCCTCACTCTCACAACATGATGGTAACCACAGTGATGATGGCATTCATACAAAGACCAACAGTGTCCATTAGGCATCAAGTTAATAACACATGTGCACTGTTGAATGTTCTTTTGTGTTTATTAACAGGATTCAACCTCTACTGGTTTTTCACGTATTATTATTTTTACAATATTGAATCAAAGAAGATATATTCCTCCTGCACAACTGGTGTTATACAGTTGTGTAATAAGAAATGAAAGCAATGAGTACCAATACAAACATGAGCTTTATAATTCAAATGAAATAGATGATTTCACTGTGTGGAAATATTTAACTCTTTGACATAAAAGGGTCTTTTTCTGATGGTCAGTGTCAAAAAAAACTACATTACCACAATTCTGTAAAACACTAAATGTCTTGCTGGAGAATAATAGATATTATCCAGAGATCAAAAACATTCATTTATCAATGATTCATATTTTATCTGAGACTTTGAAACATTTCGTAATTGATAAAATCAACATTGTACAGGACAAACTTATTGGTATTGGTTTTACTCGAAACTGACATGACTATCAAACCAAATGCCAAGAGTCCTCATAATAATAATAATACAAATTATAACAATAATAAAAATTGTTATTGTAATCATTTATTCCGCTTCACGTGGATTTATTACAAGACCAGGTTTGTCCTGTACATGTTGTGTCTTGATTCTACCACATAGTGTCGCTGTTCTGAAATGACCCCGCTACATTGCTGCTTCTCCTGAGGTCAAAGTTCACTGAATGCGGAAGTGGTATCCAGTGTTTCATCCATGGATTTACTGGGGTGAAGTAAGTCAACCTTTTACTGATATCTCTTAAATCAATACACTTGGCGTGTCGCTGTTAAACGTGTTGTTAGGAAACATTCGTGTGTTTAATATTCGGTTTGCAGTTCAGATGAATTTCAGACGAATGCTCGACATGTCGAGACCCGTTACACGCACATACACACACATTGTGGTTCAGACCGGAGCTAACAGTGTTTCTCTCCGTGTTAATGTTCACAAACTCTCAGTCTGTTCCAGCTTGAGCAACACGAGAAGAACAGATGAAACATGGAAACACTTCCTCCTCTATGTCACCTCTGATGCGCCCTGAATCCAAACCTGATCTGTGGCGACGCATTGTTTGATCAGAAGCTCAGAGGTGATCAGAAAATGAAAACATGTATTTATTACCTTCTATAAAAGAAACAGTGAAGTTCACTTAATCACAGTATGTTTTACGATGTAAGAAATAACGAAGGGACGTCTTTTCCTGATTTCAAGTGCGCCCGTATTACAGAATGTATGGCAAATGCATGTAGTCCATGATACGGAGCGAGCAAACCTATTACTCTACTGTAAAATCCCTTTGATCCATAATTTCTGACTAAGGTTGATACACTTGATCTCAGGACCATCCTGACTGTTCACTCACTCAGTATCAAGCATGTTTACTGTTTCACTTTGGAGAAATTCAGCCTCAAAGTTCATTATTTTGAATTGAAAAAGGCATTATGTGCAATAGTTACTCTACTGTAAAATCTCTTTGATTTGATTTGATAGAAGTAAATAAGCCTACATGAAGCCTGGTCTACCAGATTCTGTGACTGATGATATATCACAATCATTTTCTTTGATGCTGACTTGATCTTTGAACATCTATGTCCAAATGTACCCGACATCTCCGTCAAAGTCTCCGTAACGAATGACAGATGGCAGTATCTGAGATCTTTGTGTTTTACTTTTATCTGGGGCAGTTGTATTGTTCTACATGGAGTCACTGACTTCCTCACTACCTGCACTACACCGCCCACCGATCATATGTGCATAGATGTCCTGACTAAGAGATGTCCCACCCGGTTGACTCTACATAAGCATTGGGCCCCCTCAAGGTCCAATATGGTTTGAAACACTAGGTGGCGTTATAACAAATAAATAAATGTAGATTTTTTTAGAAAACATTCTTGTTTTTCATTGAAGAACATTCTTTTAGTTTGCAGCTTGAAAACACACTGAATTATCTTTGTAATAATAATTACATGGCATAACCTTTGCATAACTGCCTCGTCACGTTTATCTATTTTTTTGTGGGTCTGTTTATCTCTTACTCACATGAACGTAATGCTAATAAATAAATGAAGAAATAAATTCTGCTTGTGGCAAACGCACCAGAGTCCCAGTCACGTGACTTGGCGGTGGTCATGTGACCGGGCCGGTGTAAAAAAAAACACGGAAGTAGCTGGCTGCAGCGGAGAAGGGACTGGCCTGGCCTCGTTGTTCTTTGTTTAACATGTTAGTGGCTCTTAGTCTCCACCGTGGATTTCCATCTGTTCTCTGTGTGTAAGTGAGTCTGCTCGTCTGTGTCTGCGCCGGGAAGAGAGCAGGATGTGTTGGGGGTTAACGGTGACGGTGTCCGGGGCCTGAGTGATCGTGTTTCAGTAACGGTTACCATTCCGCCATGTTTTTTATTTAGCTTTGTGATTGTCTTTGAGGATTTTTGCTGGAGGATAGATCCTGCTCGGTGAGTATATTCCTCTCGATGGCCGACGTTCATAAACCGTCACGTAGAAGTAGCCAGACGTTCTTTAAAATCAGAACCGATAGACGCGATGTTCCACAGCTGAAATGAGCTGGAAATAACCCTCACGTTGGATTTTCAATTTTAACTAAACCACATCGAAGACAGACAGTTTGTTAAAATAGTGGCAGCTAGTTGTTTTTACAGACCTGCCACTGTTGGATTTGCATCGTATTATGTTGTTTGCATCATAAAACCATTTTAAGATGCCCTGGTGTTTGACATGTCCCCCTCACAGAAACCTTTCGTTGCCTTATTATAAATTATCTGAATACAGTTAACAGGTTACTTACAGAATCATGATATAACTAGATCAGCCTTTCATGCATTTTTTTGTGTTGTTAGTAAGGTGTGCAGAGGGAACTGTTGTTACGATGTATGAAGCGTGCCATTTAAAAGGTTGTGGTGAAAAGTAGGCCTATGTTAGGATGTTCAGCTGACGCTGACTTCAGATCACTCACGACATATTTTAATACCAGGTCTGAACAGTGTCCCTGTTTCTAATATATTGGAATGTGAAAGCACAAAAATGCAAATATGTGCTAACAGTTCTGTTCTGACTGTCTCTCCAAACTTCCTGCAGCTTCCCCACTCCTCTGCAACTATGACCACCATCGTCCATGATACTACAGAGGCAGTGTGCCTCTCTACTGACTACAACCTGTACCTCAAGCCCATTGCCAAAATTACTGTCAGTGTGGCGCTGCCCCAGCTTAAGCTTCCAGGCAAGAGCATCTCCAACTGGGAGGTTATGGAGAGGGTAAAGGCAATGGTGGCTCCGGAGCAGTTTTCAGCCCTCCGAATTTCCAAGAGCACCATGGACTTCATCCGCTTCGAAGGAGAGGTGGAGAACAAGACGGTGGTCAAAAGCCTGTTAAGCCGTCTGGATGGAAAGAGCATTAAACTCAGTGGATTTACTGATGTACTGAAGGTAAGGCAGGTGCACCTCAAATTCCATGAGCCGTTTTTAGACATGACCTGTGGGTAAAGTCTGGAGAATTGGCTTCAGAGTTTACACATAGTTTGCCTTTCACACATGCACAACGCAGCAAGAGGTCCTCTGCTGTTTTCACACATCGACTATGGTGAAACTTTTAAGGTTTGCTGACGTTGCTGATTATAGGTTCTGTGACTGGTTATTTTGGAAGTTGTCGTCTGTGGTGCAGTTGAGTTGCACACTGTTACACTGAAATATGTCTTTCATGCTTCTCTGATCTCAGTTTTATATCAGTGAGAACATTTTTTGAAACAACTCCCAATATAAAACAATACAATCAAACAGTGCCACAAACTACAGCCTCTAAATGTACCATTATCTTATTCAAGCCATGGTTTATTACAGGGTTGATGAATTCAAATTTTCCCTAAAAATCTGGCAGCTGAATTTACAGATGTGCTCCCCCCCCGCTCTTTTCTCAGGTCCGTGCAGTAGAGAACAAGGTTGACTTCCCTACACGACACGACTGGGATTCATTTTTCCGCGATGCCAAGGACATGAATGAGACGCTGCCAGGAGAGAGACCTGACACTATCCACCTAGAGGGGCTTCCCTGCCGCTGGTTCAACCAGAAGGACGGTCAGTTCCCAGACCGGCCCTCTGAAGAGGTCCTCATTGCTGTCTTTGAGACATTTGGCAAGGTGTTACATGTTTCTGTTTTTGCTTTTCACGATTGACATTATATTAGTTGTTAGTTTGAATTAAGGTAATGTTCTAGGCAGTTAGACTTTCAATACAAACATAACCCTTGCACGAAGGAGCTATTCTTAGTTTTTAGTCTGTTCATTTAGCACAGAAAAGGGTGGTAATACACTATATATGTTTAAAATGTGCTGTTAGTACAATTGAGCACTAATCCTAACCTGTCCTAAGTGACATAATGAGGATGGTGGAAAAACAATGCCGCAAAAAGATAGCTATGATTTTACGCATTAGATTTATGTGACAGAATTATTTTCAGAAATATTGTAAACAATATCCTAAAGACGCATTTTGTTACATTATAAACTTGATTTTTGTTGATTGTAGGTGCGACATGTTGACATCCCTATGCTGGACCCCTACAGAGAGGAAATGCTGGACAAGAACTTCAATACATTCAGCTTCGGGGGTCATCTGAACTTCGTGGCTTATGTTCAGTACCAGGAATATTGCGGCTTCACTAAGGCCATGGACACTCTGCGCGGCATGAAGCTGATGCTCAAAGGAGACGATGGAAAGGCAGTGGCTTGTAACATCAAGGTACTGCAGGCCTTTGTAGATTTATAGCTCTGCGCTGTCCATTAGAGATGCCAGAGGGTGGACGTTTTCACACCGGGTTATAAACTCGTGAAAATAGTGTTTATAAAAGGCTCAATGACTGTTGAGCTCTTACTAAGTGAGATATTTAACGTTAGATTTCTCTGCGTGCAGCATCATTTTCTGATGCATTCTACTATTTAACTGTCTTTAACACCAAATCCTCATCGTCCTCGTAAGTCATATGACATGACTCTTGTTACTCTATGATGTAACTGCATGAAGCAGCAGCTTATTCTTTCACTCCATAACTTCAGTCTCGGACTAAGTATTGATAATCATTCATGTGGACTGACCACTGTTTTTACAAAAATGATAACAAAAATATTATTCAACTTTAGCAGTTTGGGTGACTTGATGCTTAACCTCCTAAAAGCTTTCCATTTCTAAACAGAGAGAAAGGGATCAGTGCAAACGTTAAAGTTTTAAAGGGCTTTAATCGTCATATAAGTTTAAAAGTAGACTTCTTTTCACAGTTTAACTAAAAGTGAAATAGCCTTTTCTTTTCTTTATTTCTGGTCTCATATTAAAATGTGAAATATTTAAGAACTATTTGTAGTCGATGTTACGGCAAATGTTGGTCTTCATTAACAAGTGAGACCCTGTGTAGTAAACAGCCAGGTGCCGAGGCCAACACCGAGAGATCCAGCAAAACATGTCGGACATAAGAATAAAAAAATAGGCAATGTCAAAAATGACTCAAATTCTACCATGACGTATTCCACCGGCAAATTGGAGATGATAACTTTGTAACAACTAAAATGCATTTCTGCTTTTTAAATGTCAGCTGTGAAGATGGAGATAAAATGATTGTCCCAGACTTTCCACAAGACAAGAACATTCCTCATAGTGTCATAAACCACTATCTGATCAGCTCATAAACTCGCTGATGTGTTTCTCAATATGACCTCCCAGGATTTTATTTCATTTCATACCTGCAGCTACTCACCCCCATCCGTGTGAGTAAATTGCAACTGTGTAAATTTTGCAATGAGGCTGTGTTTTTCAGAATCACATTGCAGCCCTAAGACCTTTTAGTGGAATGAGAATTAAATCTGCATCATCATTATTTCCAAGGTAATGAGAGTAGAGGACAGCATGGTCTCTTAATCTGCAGAGTAAAGCCTCGATGTGAGTCCAAATCAGGGTATAAGTAGGATCTGCATCAAATAAATGAGACACATAATAAGATGTTTTAGGTTCTGTTGTTTAATTTCATAAATCCAGAATTAGAAGATCTTCAATATGACATAATCAAGACTAATCAGTGCCAAGTCAGTTTTACCAAAAGCACTGTGACGCTTCACAGGTAAATTATCATGACGTTATCAAACATGATACTATGGTCAGCATTTTCTTCCATCTGCTCTGCACTGGAGGGAATGATCTGCCATGTCAGAGGAGCTGAAACCTTGAGTAGCCATTTCTTGGAAACATGAGGGAATTGAATCTGACTTCCTCAAATTATTTAAGTATCTACTGTGACAAGACTGAGTTTTACTGGACAGAGTGAAATTAGCTACAGATTTATAAACATTCAAACAAGGATAGTTTCTTCTTAAGAAAACTAAAATGATCTTGCACTTTGCAACGCGTTCTTGACAGAAATACCCTGTTTGTCTTCTCCAGGTGACCTTTGACACAAGCAAGCACCTGAGTGAGTTAGCTCTGAAGAGGAGGAGCCTGGAGAGGATGAAGCTACAGGAGCTGGAGAGGCAGAGAGAGGAGCAGAAACGACGGGAGAAGGAGGAGGAGGAGCGTCGTAAGGAGGAGGAGAGGTATGATGGAAGACAAAAGAGAACCTGGGGAACTGGTTAAATGGACGCACAGAACATTCATGTCAATGTGTGAAACAGGGTGTGAGTCTCTAACCAATGGTACTACATTCACTGTCTTTATGGGAAAGACAGTAATTTATAATAGTGAAACTTAGACGTATGATTCACAGTAGCTATTATATATTGTATTATATTATAGTGCTTCTTTATTAATATTATTTATATTTAAGTGTTTGGCACTGATCACCATTGTGATGAAACACAAATTATTAGATTATTATTGCTGGATTTGAAATAATAATTCTGTGCTCCAGAGAAAAGTAACAATTCTAATGTTACTTTGTCATACTCTTTGACAAGAGAAAGAACAAAAAAAAAAATTGCACGCTATATCGACAGATTTTGACAAATGCCAAACTGATATTTTTAGGAAACACAAGGAGCAGGAAGAAGAGGAGAAGGAGAGGAGGAAGGAGGAGAGGTTGCGGAAGCGAGAGCTGAAGCTTAAGGAGAAGGAGCAGAAGAGGAACCTGAAGAGGATGAGGCGTCACCAGGAGGAGGAGCAGAAGAAGCTGCAGATGAAGATTGCGATGGAGGAGAGGAGGCTACTGCTGGCTCAGCGCAACCTGGAATCTATACGGCTTATTGCTGAGCTGCTGGCCAGGGCCAAGGTACAGATGCACGCAAAAAAAGAAACACCCCCCAAATGGGTATACACACGTACCCATCTTGTACACAGTAATACACTTAGGATTGTGTTACCAGTACTGTGACTAATTTCTGCAACATTTTATAAACCAAATGTACAGAACTGTACATTAAGCTTAGCCATTTTAAAATGTGCTAGTCTCATTACTGCTCAACACTAGCGAGTACACATAACAAAAGAAGCAGTTTAAGAAATGTACTTATGCTGTCTTAAATCTATTGTTTAAATATGAAGACAACACTCCTGGAAATTACAGCTCCCAATGAAGAAATTCTAGGGCACCTCATCCCCTCGTAAAACTATAACTTGTTACATGTTTTTACATTTCAGAGACAGATGGTGTTCATTGGTTAGCTTTGTAAGTGCTGGTAGGTTGTTTTGATACCTTTGGACAGTACCTGGTTAGCTGAAGAATGGAGGGCAGCAAGTCAAAGAGTTTCAGTATCTCAGGGTCTTGTAAAAAAGTGAGGGGAAGATGGAAGTCAGTGCCAGATAGTGTTGTACCAGACCATTGTGGTGAAGAGGGAGCTGAACCACAAGACAAAGCTTTCTATTTACCAGTAGATCTTCATTCTGACCCTCACCTGTGGTCTCTGGGTAGTGAACGAGATCGCAAATACAAGCAGCTAAAATTAGTTTTCTCTGTTGGGTGGCTGGGCTCAGCCTTAGAGATAGGGTGAGGAGTAGAAACCCTACCTCGACTGGGAAGAGACCCTGGCATAGACCCAGAACTCACTGGAGGGGCTACATATCCTGTCTAGACTGGCAATGCCCCCAGGATCCCCCAGGAGGAGCTAGAAAGCATGTGTGGGGAGAGGGATATCTGGACAGTCCTGCTTAGTCAGGTGATAACATGACACAATCCCATAGGTGGAAGATGATTGATTGATTGATTGATTGATTGATTGATTGATGATCACTCACAGAATAAAAGAAAACAACCCTTTTTAATATTATTGTTTTTTTTCTTACCTGTACCTGCATTGTTTCCTTCTCCTCCTCCTCAGGCCCTGAAGCAGCAGCAGCAGGAGAAAGAGAGGGCTGAACGCGAGGAGCAGGAAAGGCAGGAGCAGGCTCAGCAGAAGGAGGAATTAGCCCGACTTCAGCAGCTGGAAGCGTGCAGACGCAAGCAAGAGCAGGAGCTCCGAAGGGTGGAGGTGGAGAAGCAGCGAGCACTGGAGCTCCAGCGTAGAGAGAAGGAGCTAAGGGAGAAACTGCTTTGCAACCTGTTGAAGAAGAGCAATGAAAGAACCACTAAACCTCCAGGAACGCAGGACCATGCTGAGCCTATACCGACAGAGGAGGTCTCTGCTCCTGGCGGGAATGATGTGATGTTGGGGGCTCTGGAGCGGGTGAATGGGGGGAAGGCAGCTGAGAGCAAAGAGAAGCTAATGTCCAAATCAAATGTGCACACCCATGTTTTAGGGAAAAACAAAGCTATGCAGGAGAACAGAGGAGCAGAGGACAGGAAGAAGAAAGGCCGGGAGGGAAGGAGGGAGGATTTAGAGAGGAGCAGGTACGGCAGGGAGCGGGCGAGAGACCAGGACCACTCCCACAGAGAGAGGAGCTCCCGCAGCAGGGAGAGGAGGAGGAGGCGCTCCCACAGTGATAGCAGGAGGAGGAGGAGCTCCAGTCGCCACAGGAGGAGCTCCAGTCGCCAAAGGAGGAGCTCCAGTCACCACGACAGCAAGAGGCGCAGCCATAGCAGCAGGAGCACAAGCTCAAGTGGAGACAGGAGCAGAAGCAGCAGTGGGAGGAGTTACAGCAGGGGGAGGGGCCACAGACACAGTCACCGTAGATACAGCAGAGCCGGCTCAAGGGGAAGCAACACAAGTAGAGATGGGAGGAGTCACAGTCGTTACAGTCGGAGATACAGGAGACACAGTAACAGTAGAGACAGGAGCCACTCCAGACGACGATAAACTCAGCAGCGTTCTCAGTTTATTTGATATTTTTAGATGTTTTTGTCCATTAGTTAAGAAACGTGGCGCTGCAACATGTGTGTGTACCATACACAATGGGCTGCAGAAACCTTTAGACCACTTGAGAGACTTGTGGGCCCTATTGCATGTGAAAGGCATGGAAGTTGTAATTGAGTCTACGTAGCTGCTTTTATTGTTTTTGGTAATTTTTTTCTCTCCATTTCGTGTTGCAGACAATTTAATTTGTTCAAATATTCAGAATCGTTACAGTTCAATATTTAAAGGTCAGGTTAGTAAGTTGTTTCTGAAACACTTTTTTATCTTCTTCTTCTCTTTCTCTTCACGATACAGTTGATAGATACAGTTGATAGATACAGTTTTTTAAGAAGATGGTGTCTGTGACCCTCACAGGACAAATTAACATGACCGCTCATTTTATTTGGACCAAATGAAATGATTGGCTGGAGAACGTCTGTGTCACAAACATACCTGAGAGACGTAAACCACTGAAAAAGAGACGATAGCCAGAAGTTAGCGAGCGAGTTACAGAAAAGTGGTCTTCTAGCGTCCGTCAGACAGTTGCACCTTCATCAGTTTTGTCGACGGATGCATCGGTTGCAGTTTTCTTTGCCTTCTCTCACTAGCTTTTCCAGGATGACCTGCCTGACGTTTAATGACAAAAAAAGCAAATTTTTCTTTTTGGTGTCATGAGAATGTTGCTCTTTGCAGAGTGTGAAACATTTTGTATTAGTCATCTTTTAATTTTTTTGTGAAGTACCCCAAAACTCAACTCTGAAAGTTAGAATAAGAATAAACTTTATTAGATATTAAATTTTGGTTCAGATTCAGCGATCCTCCATACACACCAATTACCTTTTTTATCTCCAGTTTTCTGCATGAATAATTTTGCCAGAGATTTTCTTGAAGACAGAATGAAGCACCGGATCGGTTCCTCGTGGCGGTCATTGGTGTGGAAGACTTACTGGTTAACTGAAGGACGCTAACGAATGGCAGCGTCTCCACAGGCTGAAAGACTCATACCTCTGTGATAACATCAACTAATCCACTGATGTTTCTGCAATGCGTTCAGCTGCTTCCTGCTTCATTAGTGGCCATGTTGCTGTTGATCAGCTTAAGAAAAACATCTACAACCCTGGACAGTATTTTTTGGATGATCACATGATTTCAGTTAAAAAAGACTTTCTCAGTTTTAGTTTTATTTTCTAAATGTTTGAAGGGAAAGAGTGGGGGGGGTCTGTCTGAAATCCCTTCCTATTAACTGTATCGTGCTCCATCCCCTATTGCCCTATGACATTTTGAGTGTGGCTAAGGCTACATCCACACTAGATGATCTTAGTTTTACTACACATCACAGTTGCCGCAGATTGTCGAGTGCTTAAAACCGGGAAGTTATGAAACGCTGTTGGACACTCTCGGGCTGCGTTGTAGACCGGACGTGCAAAAATGGAGACGACGCAGACACCTGCATTTTTCTTTGTCCGTGGTATTTTCTGTAATGAAGCAACCAACTGCAGATTAGACAATCCTCTTCCTGTTTTCACCGACACACACATGCCCAGTGTACATAATTGGTCACGTGTTAGTACTGACAGTGATTGTACCTGATGAGGAGAGTGTGTGGACAGAGATCACTTTAGTTTTAAAACACGGTTTTTAAAAGGAAACACATCGTTTTAAATGTAGCCTATATATGTCTAGTAATAAACGATTGAGTGTCCATTATTAGGGAGGAGTGAATGAGGGAGGGATTTCAGACACAGCTTTGATATTTAACTTAATCATTAACCTGACTCAGGAAACAGTGCACTCCCTCTTTCCTTGGTCAAATGTCTTTAATGCAGGTGCTGCATTTGACTCTACTTTTGTTTTTTATGGTTCCGAACAAAGTGTGGTTATTTTTAGGAAACCAGCCTCTGGGATTCAAGTCAAACCAGCTCAGTACAAATGAGATGTTAGGATGTACCTCCTGCTCACGTTCTAATACTGGATACGATTCTTTTGCTTTAGCTGCTGTACAGACTTTTCTTGAACCTGGATTTGAGCTCGGGAGACGTCAGTCTCACTTTGTTGACATTTCTACTTTGACATGGTGACTTGTCATAGGAAAGCCCATTTGTTCTGTGTACTGTATGCTCATGAGCCACTACAGAATGTCTAGCATACATGTGGTTAAAATAAAAATTCAAGCTGAGAACTTTTGAATAAAGATGTACTTTAACATTTTGTCTCTGTGATGTGAAGCTTTGAAATATCAATTGTTCATATATTAAATTGCTGACTTCTTTCTACTACTTAAAATCTACTTTACTCAACAAAATTTAAATTCTTTGTCTAACATGCATGTCGGTTTTTATTCCTCCTTGTCGGGGACTGCCAGGCATTATGTTTATGGGTCCATTTATCTGTCTCATTCTTGTGAACTTGATATCTCAAAAATGTCCAGAGGGACTTTTTTCACATTTTCATTCAAACATTCACTTAAACAATTGACTGATTTGATTTTGGTGGTTGTTCTTCTCAACGTGATACATTGGGAACAGCATTATATCTGGCACAAACATTTACTTCAACAGCAGCATGACTGATAATAGTCAATTTCCTCCATGTTTTGCCATTATTGCAGAAATGATGATGAGTGGTAATACCGCCACCTGGCACTTTGTCACACATCGGAGGAGTAATTTGCCTAATCTTTTTTTATTCTCTTTAGAATGAGATGGAAACACAGACAACAGGCTGCAGGAATAATTTATTGAGCAAAAACTGCTGGGGCGGGTACTCTGGGTGGAAATGCAGCTCCAAGGTGACTGGATTAGAATTTGGTCAAAGGTCAAGGTCACTATGAACCCACAAAACCCTTTTTACCTCATGAGAATCCTTTCAAATTTGGTACAAATGTTCTTTTGAACTCTTGGATTAATTAAGTTGGAATTTCAATAGAAAAATCTGCATGGTTTGATGCTGTTGGAACCGTGGTCTCTCTCTGTATATCTTTGTGTATATATAAAAGTCTTATGTGAGGGATCAAGGTGACGACTGCAGCTGTCATATCTGTAGCTTGTCTGTACACCACTGCTTTAATGAAGTGTGTGGGTGAATAATTAGTAGTCATGCTGATTAATGTCTATATAATTTCATCAAGGCTGGTGACGCAACAGGCTGTATCATTAGATGGGATTCTACCATTAGTCTCTCAGCGTAAGTGCAATCAGGCCCTATGTAGAAGAGGGGGGCACATCTTTCATAAAATAGATATCCCCTCAGAGCTTTGACTATTCCTCATTGTGATCATGTTTTTGAGGTCACGAAAACTTTGCAGGACACAGTGTCTGGTATGAGAGTGAGTGAAAGGCCCCCTCTGAGTAATAATGAACAAGGCGGCAGTGTATTGCCCCAGAGTTATTTCTTTGTCTAACACAGACCGAACCCCTGCTCTAATCTGGGTTATCTGGCTGTAATCGGCTTAGCCCACTGCTACTCTGACTCTGCTGCAGCTTGGTGGGCACTTTCTGTAGCTTTACCCTGCTTTCGTCTTCACTGTCGTTCACACTCTCACCTGGAGTCCAGAGAGACAGACTTGAAGGGAAGTTGGAAAAATCCCAACTTGTTTCTTTTCGGGGTGTCCTGTCGAAGCTGAGGCCATGGCTGAAAGTCAGGAGATGACTTCCACCGAGGGGATGTCTACTGCCGACACATATCCCAGAAAAATACTGGAATACATGGAAGGATTTCTTGTCTCAAAGGTAACATGCGCATGCAAAGTGTGCACACACCTCCATGGTGGATATTTTAACTAACCTGTTCTCAATTGAATGTTACTGTTGGAGTAGAGTCAGTGTTTCTCACAACAGGAAAAGTGAAGGTGTTACTAAAACCAGAAACAATGGCTCCATTCTGTTCAAGTGTCCCAGAGCAACAGAAGGAAGCAGCATGAAGAAACTCATTATTAATTACTTTTTACTATTTACTTTTCCTACTATGAAGGGTCATATTACCTGTTGTGAAGAAGGCCTATAGACTTTTTCTTTCTTTTTTGTTTTAACTTAAAATAGCTCCATTAAAATGAATTGGATGGCTCACTGATTTGAAGTAGTGAACTATCCCTGAGTGTCCATTCTTGCTCTATGAAACTAGAGCGTGAGCATGCAGTGTGGAAGTGACTGACAGTCACAGCTTAACATGTCAGAATCAGGTCCAGCAAGTCCAAGAGTAACGCTGAACTGAAGATCAGTTAATAAGACATTAAAAAACAGTGTCTGCTTCCAATATTCACAGAGAACACTTTTAAAATATGAAGAAATCATTACAGAGTTTGGTGTATTTGTTACATTGGCAGCACTTCTGGTTCCAGGCAGCAAGGAATCGTGAGGAATATCCACCGTTTGTTTGTGTTTCAGTTCAGTGAGTGGGACCATGAAGTCTGAGCTTCACTCAACACATTGATTGTTTTTTTCTCTACATGGAAACCACTCAGACACAGAGCACAGAATGAATGGCTGCAGAGGGCGCTGTTGCTCTGTAAAAGTAACATAGTGTAGTTTTAACTAGATTAATTGATCCTGCAGCAGTAGCTCAAGGACAAAGCCATCAGGATTCTATCTTTAAAACACATCCATTATATATATTGTTGAATTATGTTTTTAAGGTTTTTAGTCAATTTAGATTTAGATTCACCAGTAAATTACACATTAAACCTAAACATGTTATACATTGTAAAATATGTTGTACAATAAAGCTGAGGTGTAAAGACATAATGTGCAGAACATGATTAATGGTTATTTAAATACGATGTGTCAGCAGGTCTGTCAGGGACCGAGCAGGTAGACAAGAGAGACACAGGTTGATTTCTGAAAATCTTTTTTTTCTTTAAAAAAAAAGGCAGAAATATGAAGAAAAAAAAGAACTGAACAACACAAACCACAAGCTGAGACATGGTGGCTGATCAGGCCATTCAAACACAGAGGTGTGCAGACTAAGACATACTAACATTTAAACAAACTTTAATAACCACAAAACATGCCCATATAATACTACCTGAGATCAACAAAGGTACAATCATTTAACATTTATATTAAAACACAGCTGTCAAAGAATTAATAACAAAACTCCAAGTCGTAATCACTGTCCCTCCCCTTGAGTATGAGGAACATGGTGCAGTCCAATTAGCAATCAACAGCATTAAAGCCTGTCTGCTGCTGTTTGATCTCTCTTTGTCGGCCAGACGACCCCAGCACCAAACTCCAGGTACTGATAACTCATTCATTCATACAGCAACCTTGACAAAAAGCTAACTAAATGTGTACAACCATTGTCAAAGCCTGCTAATAAAACTGAGTGTTACACAAAAAACCATCTGTGTCCAGTTATTTACTTGTTGCATGTATGTATGTGCATTTTGTGTGTGTGCAAAAAAGGAAAAAGGTTCCTAAGGTTAGCTGTGTGTTTGCGTGTGGGGCATCACAATGCCGTATGACTTTATAACATTTTACCGTAAATGATAGTTACTTATTGTCGTTTTTGCAGTGTGATTAAAAACAAGAGAAGAAACTGTGGCGGTTTTGTAACTAGATGCATCCTAATATAATTGTCGTATTGTAAACATGGAAGTGTCGACAAACAGAATCGAATACATGCAGTCGTTGTGTTACATGAATGTTATCTACTCAACACAACTCTACTCCACTGAACTCCTCTCTCTCTGGTCCAGACTCTGTTCGCGGCCTGTGAGCTCGGTGTGTTCGATGTGTTGCTGGCTGCAGAGCGCCCCCTGTCTGTGGAGGAGATTAGTCAGGCGGTGGGAGCCAGTCTGGATGGCACAGAGAGGCTGCTGGCTGCCTGCACGGGCCTTCAGCTGCTCAACACACACCAGGACGATGGACGAGGTCAGAGATACAAACACATTCACACATCTGCAGCTCTTTCTACCACATGAGCTCTGATAATGTTCTTTCTTTATATTGACAGTTTTATTTTCCATCATGTATCTTTTGTTTTCCATGTCCAGTCAATCTCTGTACTATCACATGGAGTCATTCATTCATAGTCACTCCTCTGTCTCTCCTCCTCCTCTCCCCCCACCTGCTCCAGTGCTCTACAGTAACACAGAGCAGGCCAGAGTTTACCTGACCCGCTCCAGTCCTGTCTCTCTCTTCCAGTCCATCCAGTACAGCTCCAGAACCATTTACTTCTGCTGGCACTACCTGACTGATGCTGTCAGGTAGGTTTACAGAGCACAGCCCAGATGAAGTCTGGAAACATTTCATGCTAGAACAAGTTTATGTGCTGACCTGGCTGGTTTTTAAATATTACATACTTATATCTAATAGTGTGTAAAAGGTTCATTGATAAAGTTAATTTTTAATTTAACCTGGATACACTTATATATTTATATATATATATTTGTGGGCAACATTGCTATGATTTTTATTTTAGCACATCTTTACCCTTCTTCCTCATCAGTGATGAGGTTTTTACTATTCTGTTTTTTTTGACAGGTCAATTATTTGATATATTGAATATATAAGAAATATGTTTTAAAAAGTTATGTCAAAACAAGAGTTATAAACTCAAAGAAAGAATTTGAACATTTGAAATTTCACGTTATTTTAATAATGACTAGGAAATGTAAGGAAATGGGGCTGTGTGATATGGCCACAAATGATTTCAAGATAAAAAAGGTTCATATGAGTTGTTTATGATTATAAAAATAAATGTCACATTATTTATTTCAATTTAAAAAATTGTGGTTTTAAATATACAAATCCTTTGTTATATTGCTATTAATGAAACTTATATTATGTCTTATTGTTTTTTGTCCATCTCTGCCATCACTGACCCAGAGTTCCCAATAGATATTTTCAATTTACAAGAAATAACTCAAGTGAAACGAAATGCTTACGTTTACATTACTCTTTGTAAAAAGCAGCAACATACAAATGAATGACTGTCATAATAAAAGACATTAATGCCACAGTAACAGAATTGATATTCTCCAGTTAAGGGAACCAGCTAAGTAAAGAATAATCACAGTTGCACAGCGAGGGGCTGCAGGTTAGATTCAGCACAGAAGACATGGATCCTTCTGTTTGAAGATTGATTATAGTCTCATTGTTATGTCTGAGGGAGGATGATCAGTCCAGCTCCTCTCACACAGCAGCACTGGATTC